ATCAAACTTACATTACATGTCCACCAATTGTTGATTTTCCAGCATCTGGAAGAAAAAGACAGGTTTCATTATGATTTATATCATGGAAATCTCAAGAATCATCTCAGGTAACCTCAGTTATTATTAAGTCAACTCAGGATTCTGTTAGTTTTTATAAAAAGTAAATATACTGTATTTAAATTATCTCTAAAGCAAATTCAGTTAAGTTGACTCTCTACCAACAAATTGAACCATCTGACCCCTAAGAGCGATATTAATCTAATTTCTTACAATATCACCCCTGGATCACATAACGAAGTCACAAGAATAAGGAACATGATCATCAACTGAAGCTCTTGATTGTTCAACAAATTCTCTTTGTCAGCACCTTAAGAAGTGTACAGAGAACAGTATAGAGAAAATGCACACTGATGTTAGCATGTACAGGGTTAAGGAGTACATCTTAAAATAAAAGAAAGAACAAAGTTGTTAAGAAGTTCTTACCAACATGACCAATGAATATAATATTAAGATGCTCTCTTTTGTCTTCAGGTTCTTCTTCAACTTCTTTCTTTGCTTCTTTTTTCACAGGCTTCACTTGTTCCTCTTCCTCTTCCTCAGCCTCTACTTCAACTGTTTCCTTGGTTTCTAGTAAACAATGATTACAAAGTAAAGCAATTGGGTTTGACTCTGGACATTCTCAAGTTGGTTTTTCTTGTCCAGCAAGGGAAAACCCTAAAAGCAAGGTCAACAGCCAAAAAAAAAAACTTAACACAACTCAATTCTAAAACATGCTTTTTCCAATTTCTCTTTCCCTTTCCTCTGCCAACTCCATACACCATGTAACATAAACTGATTATTACTTCAACTTGGAGCACATCAACATATACTGTAAATATCTAATTTTTTACCTCCTCTGTCTTCATTTGTTTCTGGTTTCATGTCAATGGGTTCTTTGTCTTCGCCAGGAACATCTCCTTTGATAAAATTAAAAAAATAAATAAGGCAGCTATCTAAGATAACAAAGCAGCTTTCCATTCATCACAACTGATCAGTGTGACTGTCCTGACCACACACAGAACAGTCAGAACTGACAAGGCAGCTCTGGTCAAATTGCCTTCCTCCTCCCTTACCTGCTCTTAAAATAGAACCACTTTCCTTTCATACTTCTGTGCGGACTACTTCTAAATTGCAGTTGCCAGTTCCAAACAAGTGAGATTTCATGGCCAAATGGTCATGCTCTATACTCTGAATCTTGAGATCAAGGTTTGAGCTGTAGCTGGGCTCACTGTGTTATTTTCTTGGGTAATATTGCTTTACTTAGTATCTTGTCTGCAGAGAGTACAGAGGGAGGGGGGGGGGGGAGAGATGGCAATACTTTGTGTGAATTTATGCTTCTGGAACTTGGATACCCTCTGACAGGAGATGTCTCCAGGTTCTTGAACCTACTAAATTACCACCCATCTTTCCCCACCTAATTTTATTCCATAGATCAGGACACAACCTTACTAAAATCATATATTTTCTGTACATCTAGTTTCTTTCCCCTGACTTGAAAAACACTACCTCTATACCTGGGATGTGGGAGAGAGGGAAACTCTATTTTCACTTTTTGAAAATAAAGGGGGAAATGCCAAGTACGCTTCATAATTAGGAACATTCTAGAGGAGACTTATAGAAAATGGCTTAAAAACTGGCTTAAAAACCAGAGGGGTAGTCTTGAAAACGACTGTTGTTGGTGTCACTGACTGAAGAAAGCAGCAGTGGTAGACATCAACAGAGACATAATTGTACAATGACAAAATCTACATTAAACAAGTTCCTTTCACGATTTTGAAACGAATTTCAGTATTATGAATTGCAAACAACTGTTTATGATCATACAGTTGTGAAAACATCAGATCAATTCATTAAATATTCTACAATACTCACCCTTAATAGTGTCCGAATTTTTCTCGGCAATTTCCGACTGATCAACATCCCCATTTGTAGAAGGAGAAGCTGAATCATAAACAAACCAAAATAGGAACTACCCATTATAACTGTGAAACAACTTTCTCATAAAAGTCACAAGATCAAAGGCAATACCAACTGAGAGTTTGCACAAGCGCTAATATTAATTTAACGTGGATTTAAGAGTTTACACAATGGCCTTTTGACTGTACGGAAAGCACAAAACAGACTTTTCAATAAGTAACATCGACTGTTTTTGATCACATCATCAGAGAAGTGAAAAGAGAAATGACTCCAATCTGATCGTGACAGAGCACGAGTACAGTGGTACAATGAATGGTCTGGGAAAATTGATTTAAAACTTCATCAAGATACGATTGTGGTCAGAGTATTCACCCATAGTGATGATAGAGTGAGGATCAACAAAGAGGATAGGGCCTTACCATCAGTCGTCACTGTTTTCAAAAACGAAGGAACAAATGCCGGCGCATTGACGTTTGGTACAAAAGGTTTTGCGTTTACATTGAGCGAATGAAGTTGGGCACTCAAATCGCTTGTTCCTTCACTCATTTCTCCTGGGCCAGGATCGTCTAAAGAATCCCACGAATCTGGTGCGTTTGCGTCTGAATCCATTCCTCGATCGTGCTGTTTCTAAGATATTTTGATGGCTTGGTTATGAAAAAGTTGACTTTTGTGTTATTTTTTCCCCCGGTTACTTTGGCCCACGAGAAATGGTGCAATTTCCACGCCGGTTCGTAGGGCATTGAGCATGCTTGAAAACACCGCTGGCAATCGGAGGCTCGTCTACATACATACATTCGTGGCTAACACTTAGCTATATAAAGAAAATTTACAGGTCAGTCACGAAAGAAAAGATAAATAAATAAACCTAGAAGCTATATAAAAGTGTTTAAAGTGATGTAGTATTATGGAACTGTATAAAATTATAGAACTATTAAACTTACAAAAACCAGGTGTTTACCTCGCGCGCGTGTAAAGCGCGTGATAAGCACGCGTGGCAGGGATGAAAATTTTAGTGCCATACCGTAAAATTCCGAAAATAAGCCCCTCCATGTATAAGCCCCTCCGTATCGAAACTCCACCAAATCTGAAACGCAAAAATACTTCCTATAATAAGCCCCTCCGAATATAAGCCCCCGGGGGTTTGTATTTGGAAATTATCCTCAGTTATACAAACCAAAGCAAACTACACATAATCACCATTATCAGGAAGCCTTTTTTAATCATAAAAAACGAATCCGTTCACTAAAGCAATGTGGTCAACATGTGTTGAAGTTTACTGTCTTTTACGCAGTTCGCTCTTCACTCGCGCTTTGAATTCCTTCGGTCTGAAGACAAAGTTTTTGCATGGAAGTTCGAACAAAAATTTGAAACAAATTTCCCTCCAATTATAAGCCCAGCCAATTTTGAAACGCAAATTTCCCTCCTATAATAAGCCCTTCGGAATATAAGTCCCTGCCAAAAATAAGACCCTCAAAAAGTTCCTTTGAAAAATATAAGCCTCGGGGCTTATTTTCGGAGTTTTACGGTATCCGTAAACCTTGCGGAAAAACAGTGAACTAAACTATCATTCTGACTGTGCAAAAAAATGCATTACACAGAAACCGAGGTGACAACCAACAGAAGTGTTTCATGTACTGGGACTTAAATGAGTTTCTCTCTAGTAATGAGGAGGGGGGCATCGGGATTTTCGGTTTTGCGGTTTTGGCTATATTTTAAATCGGTTATTCGGTTTTTGTGCCAAAAAACTTCGGTTTTTCGGTTTTGGTGTTCGTTGCGGTTTACGCATTTTCCGTATTTTGGCATTTGGTTTTCGCTTTCCGCGAAAACTATTGACGGGTTTTCGGATTTGATACTCGATGCGGTTTTCGGTTTTTCCTATGGGTTCCGGTTTCTCTTCGATCTGAGCGGCAATTACGCGCCTCCACAGATCTCGAATAGCGGCTAAACGCAAATGTTATCGAGAGGAATGCGTGACGAACCAATTGAAATATCGCAGGGATTACTAGGTAGCCTACGTGTAGCCGTACCCCCCTAAGGTGGGGGGGAGGGGAGGGTACGGCTACGCGAACATTGCTAGAATTTCTTAATCAATGCCACCTCGAAGTTGGTGACCAAGTTACAGGCCAAACTTTCAGGTCTTAGTTCGCAAATGGAAATGTTAGATTAGGGAATTTCGATGAAACTTTCCAGAGCTATAGCATTTTGCGACTGCAAAATTGCAATCCTATAGAGCCTTCTGTGCAAACTTCCTTTATTTATTTAGGCGCCATTACCAGCTGCGTACCCCCCCCCCCCCCACCTTGGAGCTGAGCTGAGTCCGCAAAGACCACGCTCAAGGTCCTCGAGAGGGCAGCTGTTAATTTAAGCAGATACTAGAAGATACGAATGCCAAGTCCATAGCATTCATAAATCCTGTAATGAAATAAGTGTAGTTTATTCTGTATGCTACACTTGTCACCACTGAATCAGATCGATCAGGATTTTAATAACTGGGATGTGAAAATGTATCGGTTTTGACAGTTTTGCATGCGGTTTTCGGTTTTGATTGCATTTTTTTCAGTTTTTCGGTTTAAGATGATTTTTTCTACGGTTTTGCGGTTTATAATAGGCCCCGATTTCCCCCTCAACGGGGGTCAATTTACCGAGGTGTTGCTTTTTGTATCTTTCGCAGCCCTCTGAGGGATGTCACGCAACCGAAAGCACGACGTGACATCCCCTGAAAAGACCGCTGGCAAAGGAGATAACAATAGATTAATGGTTGAAGAATTTACTCAGGCTGCTGAAACCTTCAACCTGAACAGTAGGTGCTCCCTTTTGCGATACACCCTAACCCTACCTGAGAGTATCCGAAATATTTAATGAAATGGCCTCGAAAAGAAAGAAAAGTCGATGAAACAAGCTTTGTTCGAAAGATTTTAATAGTCAAGACATCGAAACGACTAAATACATTACACAGTAACATATTTCCCAATACAGACTTTTAATACGGTCGAGGACAGATTTCCGTCTTAAGCCATATCTTTTCCCCCTCGTCTCAAATAAACATCATCTTATTTTTCAATGTTTATAGCAAATACCGTTTGATGTGAATGAGTGCCGAGTGCAAATGAAAATACTAAATTCGAATGTAATTGGTACATTACCCTCTAATCCTTTTAATATTGTAATCAACTTATAAAAAAATGAGAATAATACCCCGTAATAAGCCTTGTTTTCCCATCGGACTACGAACGTGAGGCAAAAGTGCTAACTTTTTTCCATTAACACATACAAATTGCTGTTCATCTTGAACGTCAAAATGAAAGCGCTTCTCAACCAAGTGTCGCCAAATAAAAGCAAAATTAATTAAGGAGCAAATAAAAATTCAAGCGAACCCAGGGGAACTATTTGATTTGCGATAGGTCTGCAATGCAAAACCAGAGCAAACCGGGATCATTCCCGTGAAAATTGCTCTTAGCTCTCTGGTGTTCTCTCGGTTTATTCACGGACCGATGTACTGTATAACCTGCTCGAACTTCGAAGAAGGATAATCAAAATGAAATCAACTTATTTTCACCGAATAGTTAGAAAAATAAACTCATCACATTCGCTTTAATTAATCAATCATCTCTAGATGGGCATTTCCAAAAACAACGATTTGTACTATGCACCTTCATATCTTTACAAATCAACCAGAACCCTTCCTCCCCAAAATAATCTCTTTGACTTAAAAAAAATAAAAGGAACATTATAATGCCTTGCAGACAAAAAAAATAACCCTCTGAAGTAAACAAAATAGACGTGACTCCCCATTCCACTGTAATCGTTTTGTTAACAATATTAAATAAAGTTTAACATCTAATTTAACAATAGTGGTTCTTCTACATAAACATAATATTAATGTAATAATAATTTATGTAGCTTAAGTAATATTTGTCATTAAATATCAGATTTGATGATAATTTTTGAAATAGTTAGCCACTAAGTTTTGTTTATCCCAAATTCAAAGGTCGAGTTTCCCCAGACTTCCTCGTCCAGTTAAGGACGCGTACACTTTTCGTCATAGAGAAAAGTGGGATTGGGGATTGTCATGATTTCCTGACAATCGTCTGTCACAATTTATTATCCTATTGACTCTTCTGATTGTTCATCTTCGTCATATTCTCTGAGTTCCTCTTGACTATGATCCACCGCTCCTTTTAGTCGACTTAAGTGCTCATTCTCTACTCGCAGAAAATTCCATACGAATCGCCTGGAAAGAGAACATTTCACAATTAGTTATGCAACTAGATCATGGCATATCAAACGCTCAGGATTCGTGCGCAGTTTTGCGCAAACAAATTAAGACTTTTTCCACAATTTTTCAGCTCAACAATACGAGTCAAAACACTTAAGTAGACAACCGTTGGGTAAAAATACCTACTTCTTCATTTTTAGTTAAGGCTATCTTCATTTTTTAAAATCTTCTTACAGTCTTAAAACTGTTTTAAATCATAACATCTCTTTTCAAGAACAAACGATTCAGTTCGCACGCCACATCATAAAAGTAGCAGTTTTCTCTTACAAAGATCGCTAAGCTAAGCAATAACTGCTTTCAGGGAAACCCATAACCCACCGCCTTGAGAGGTCAGGACTTTCACTAAGTAACGCAACAAACACAAACGGAGTTCTGCGCCTGTCACGTAATACTCTCTCTTCGTGTGGCAAATCCAAACAAAAGTTAAAAAGCCGACTAGTACTACTACTGACCTAAATACTTCCAACACCGCTAGTAATGCTGTGAGGACTTCAGAATGAAACAGTCCTGCTTCACCAACTGATACAGTCAGGACCCAGGACAAGCGAAGAAAGAGATTGCTAACCAACGCAAAGTAATAAAACCCCTGCAGAAAGAAGAGAAAAAAAAATACATTTGATAAGGACATTGTAATTCGAAAATATAACTACAGAATACGCAGGTTCCTTTTCTGGCCTATTTCCGGGGCTATAAGTTCCCCTTAGCCCACGGGTGGAGTGTTGAATGAAATACAGAATTTTCCCTCCTTCCTCATTCCGCAACCAAATTTTTCCCATACGATATTTTACCGTTTCTTAAAAAAAATTTCTTATCTGTTGCTCATCGCGATCACCTGTAACCCAAGCTTTTTTTCTTGGCCTAGTCCTTTTCCACGCTGAAGGCCATCCCGACCCATGTACCCAGGTAGCGATGGCCTCAATGACCCCAGATGTGGAAGTTAAACTTCGTTCCCATGCCTCTACTTACCAAGCGTTTGAATAGCAACTTGGCTCTAAGATATCCGTGACTAGAATCCATTAGTCCCCAATCCATTCTCACATCCCACACGTAGGTGTAACACGAACTGATGAACGCCGAGAAGATCCAAAACAAAAAGTAGAAATCCATCTGCTGTTTACCAGTATTTTCTGTCGATAGAAAACAATATGTTAAGTTATCTCCCTTAAAGATAAAAATTACATGAAAAATACACAAGTCAGTTTTGTACAGGCACATATCGAACCAAAGTAAGATTACAATGAACATGAGGGAGACCAAAAAATATTTGTGTGGTAAAATAAACACACACACACAAAAAAAAACAAAACAAAAGTAAGACACTGAACGCAAACTGCAAATGAGGAACTTCGAAAAATTTCCGCCAAATTTTTCAAGATGCACGAACTACGACGTAGCTCTTTTAAGGCCAACTTAGATCGGTTTCTGCATTTTTGCGATCTAATTTATCGGCCGGACTATATTTAGGAAAGGGTGAAATATGAAAAGGAAACCATAAAAACTTTCATTATATGCCTTCTTTCACATTCAACTAACTTCTCCATGAGTGATACCTTTGTGAGTTGTCGCCACTGTTGAAAAGAATACAACAAAGAACGTTGTGGAATATTTCCCAGCATTCGCAAGGTGTGGGAATTTCTGTTTTGTGTCATCGTATCTGCGCAGACTCTGCGCAAAGCGCCACCACGCAGGGAGACAAGCGATCAGCGGTCTCAGCCCATACAGTTTGCTACCGCATTTACTTCGGTCTACAAGAGAAATAAAACATAGAATGTAAGTGAGTCAATACCCTCAGAAAGTGTGACATGATGGTTACGCTATACTTCCCACAGATATCCTGCGTGTAGAGGTTTGCTCGAAGGAATTTTCTCTCACAAAAGGACAGACAAGAAATTAGATAAAGAAACATAGATAAAATAACGCAAGAACGAGAACTAGAAACTCTGAACATATGTATTAAGACTTCTTTTGACTCCATCCAGTTGACGTTTTCATCAAAATACAAAATTCGCTTTTTCTCTTCTGACAGTCGTTGGCAGCGTAAGAAGTTCGACAGACACGAAAAGACCCCGAAGCAAGCCGAAAGAAAACCAATTTACACCAATGGTGCTGCCTTCGGCAGATTCCGACAAACCCGACTACGGCGCGAAGGAGGACGAAGTTGCACCGATAATGATGGTTTCGGTAGATCCTGGCAAACCCGACCGCAACCCGAGGGAAGACGAAGTTGCACAGATTACGAAGGCCTCGATAGATTCAGAAAAACCCGACAGCAGAAAAGGCAAAGGAAAATGAAATTGCAATGACTGTTAGCTCACCTTGAACAGAGTAGTAGTCAAGTGCGTAAAAACAAGACATATACTCCATATCCAGAATAGCAACTACAAGACTGTTTAGCTGATCTGCAAGCCAGAAGTCGGCAAATCCTACATGGTGGAACGGCGCTGTCAAAACTCGCCACTGAAAAAAAAAAGAAAAACAAAGAGCAAATTAAATTTGTTTTAACAACTTGCTGTTAAAATAACTAGTCGGGGATAGCTACAGATTCTGAACTATCTCAGAAAAAATTCCTACGTGCCTATGAACGAATCTATTTTGACGAGGTCAACAATTTGTGTCAATTTGTGTCAAGGAGTAAAATTACCTCCAACCTCGGACGAACAAACACCGAGAGACACGCAATAGGGTTTCCGGTGTTGGACATTACTGAGATTAGTTTAACGTATTTTCTTCGCAGAATTGTCAGTTTTTCGACTTTTGATATCCACTTTTTTCCTATACGCTTATCTTTTCCCTTGACCTTATCACTTTTAAAAACGCGGATAACATCAGTTCTTTAGAATGTTTAGGCCGTCTCACTGTTTAAGCGACATTTCTAACAATTTTAGACCCCAGTGCCCCCTCTGTTATCTAAGGGAACTGTCATTTCAGAGAACGATGAGGCGAAACGAAGAAGTCAGAAAGAGTGAATTGAGGAGAAATCGTGTGGGAATTAATCCACAAAATTAGAGAGGAATGAACATTATACTTACAATTGCCCTAAGAAGCCAGAATCTTGCTTTTCTTAAACAGAAGTCAAGCGTGTTGATACCGAAAATAAAAAAGAAACAAGCTAACGCAATTGGATGGAAATAACGCGGCAGTCCAAAATGTTCAGAGAAAAGAAAAACCACAGCACTTGTTCCCCATAGGACGGCGAAGAACAACGACATCTATTGAGAGACAGAGAGAACACAGATACAGTAAAACGTCAACAAAGTTTATTCAAAATATTCAAGTGCCGTACAGTTACCTTTGATGAACACCAGAACAATGAAAACTGCAATCTTGTGCCGAGATTTTGTCACAAAATTGATACCGCTGGGTTCAGCGTTTAGCAAAATTTCTACGCTGATGCAAAAAGCTTCAGAAGAGTAAAATGTTCTGATATTGATGAAAACAGTCTAAAATGCAATAAATTGTGAGCCTCGAAAGTCCCTCATTCATCCAGATTGATTTAATTTTTAAAAGAGGGACGCAAAGGGTTTGTGAGTGGTGCATGACGAGGCCCAAAATTAATATTTGACACGAGATTTTTACAGAAAGGTAAGGCAAGCTAAGATTTGAAGTTTTCCCTTTAAAACTTGTGAAGTGTGAAGTTCTGCTTAAAGTGCCCGAGACGCGCGAATTTTACTAAAATTTGTGCATGAAACAGAATCTGGACCCCCCACCCCCTCGCTTTGCTACCATCTTAATACGAACTTCATCGCGGTATAAAACTGTTACAATTTCAGATAGAGAGTTTGCTTTGAATCTGCTGGGGATCAGAGAGGTGTCATGGAGGGGGGTGGGGAGGGGGTTTAGAAAATTCACGAGTACATCTCACGAATCTTACCTCTAGCATTCGAAGAGGGCAGAGACTATTCTTTAAGTCACAGATGTGTGCAGGGTTAATACCCACTGATTTCCAGCCGTATAAATTGATTCCAAAGAAAAAAAATTCTAGTACGAACAGAAACATTCCTCTATACATGCGGAACGCTGGTTGCCATTGGATGTCATTGTCCGCCCGAATTGCTGAAGAAAAAAAAATCATTAAAATGTCAGGTGACAGTCATTATTTTGTTATTTTCAACATTTTGACATCTTCCTACTGCGTTGGTAACAACCGCGACGAAGCTTGCTAAAAAAAATATTTCAATCGGAGAAACAAAATATATCCCTCAGAGAAGGAAAGCGGGTGTCAGAATTCTCATTAAACAGCTGTGGAAATATTTGGCTAAGGAACAGCCAACTGTGAACTCTCTACAATAGCGTTTGCTTTACATGGATAATTGACTTGTAATTTGATTGTGACGTAAGTACTTTCTTAGTTGTTATGGTTTGTTGGCCGAAACCGGAAAAGCAAACCTCAGCAGGGAAAAATTTCGTATGGTCAGTTATTGAAAAGTTCTCGGATACGCTTTCCATTACATCAAACCCAAACATTAGATGAAAAGATCGCCATAAAACTGCCATGATTGCACAAGAGCGCCCTATTAGCGTGACTTGGAACTCTGCACCCGATTTACGACACGATCATTATATCTTGAAAACCTTCAGCATGTACGAACGACTTTTTCGACACATAGTTACAAGAGTTTGCCACTGTTTTCATACCTGCAATAACTAGCACGGTAAACAACACGAAAAACATGCCACTCAGAATACCCAGCCGAAATATAAGCCAAGTTTGATAAGCCTGCAAAACAAAGCAATAGTATAAACAATATTAGCAATCAGTTATGAATCGTTGCAATTAAAAAATGGTTCACCTCGGGAAAGAAGCACACGCCAAACCTTGTTCGACTCCGTGTCCACTGAGCAATTTTCAGGTTCAGTTTTTTGATGGTAACTTTTGTCCTCTATCGCTTCGCCAGCTTCACACCCCTAACATTACAAAATCGACAAGAGAGAGAGAGAGACTGATAATTAAAAAAATAATTTCTGTGGCTACACATTTTTTTTGACGATTCAAAACTTAGGAAACACGATACCAACAAAAAGGGCACACGATTTCCCAATTTCCGCCCGATTCCAAATGATTTCCTATCAGAACTTGAGCGGAAATCAAAACCTGGAGAAAAATCATCTCCGTACAGAGAGCAAAGGCTGAGCAATCCTTGAAAAATAACCAAATCTTTGGTGAATTTTAAGTAAAATACTAATCGGTTGTTGCGCAAACTACGCAACGGGAAAAATCGATTATCACCGTTTCCGACAGATTTTAAAACATCACTGGATCCGTTTATATTTTTTTTTAAACATAACCAAACAAGACTGCCTTTATAATTGAATAACAGCTTCGTGTACTTTGCCCGTGGGAATTGAAATGTAACAGGGAATAAATTAAATTTGTTTTTAAAAAATCACAACAAAAGCAATACACAGCAATAAAGTGACAACGGAAATATTGAGATAGGATCAAGCGGTATCGGATGACTGATAGACGTATCATGGCAAAACGCAGGGAGGCCGAAATCACAGCAATCCCTTCAGTAGAAATTTCTTAAACGACCGCACACGAAAAACGAAGCGATTACGCTGCACAAGTGAACCTTAGCAGCAAAGCCTCGTTTAAATTCAAATGAATGAACTTTGTATTCAAATAGCTTATTTGCTGTTTTCATGCATAATGATTTTAAATACCCCGAGCGAAATTTATTGTACGAAATTATAACTGAATTTACCTGGTAGGTCTGAACTTTGCGATACGTGCGAAGATACGCCTTTGCTCTTCTCTTCTTGCCAGCTTCGCCATCGAGAGTTTGAACAGCAATCATCAACCCTTTGAAATGCATCTTAGATCGCTCGCAGTATGAGCGAAGTTGATATTTTGAACGCAGTCAAAATAACCCGACGCAATGCATGTACAATATTATGTGATCAATTCCCTGCTCGGGGAAGTAAGGAAAACAAGAGATGTAATTATTTTTATGAACGGTTTTGCATTCAACGACACTTCAAGGAGAGAGTTGGAAGGGAGAGAGCAGAAGAACGAAGTTTGATGTGAAGGCCAAACGAACACGATAGGGTTTGCGCAGAATAAAGTAGTATTATAATATGTCACGTGTGAAGAATCGACCAGTTAGAGGATGTGTAGCTAGGGTGTGTTTCCGGCAAACAATAGAGATAATAAATAACCTGAGACCTTGGCCAAGGTAAAATCACATACCTCATGAATATTATTTGTCGCATAATTAGGCATTTATTATTTGTAATTTCCTTCGACAATCTGGATAAATCTTTGGTTGAGCTGCTCAAAGCGAGCTTGTCCGCGTGGTTAACTTGTGTCTGCATAGTGTCGATACACGGTTTCCAGTTTCAAACGGAAACGTGGGCTAAAATTAATCTTTTAGCAGTTTAAAATTTTGGATCAGGCGTTGGAGCAGGCTATTGCTTGTTTGTACGTAGTTAGCCTGACGTCGCCAAACTCCAAAACTTAACGGTTACCGTAATTTCCCTTCTTTGCTTACCAGGCATAAGTAGTTATGAAGTGAAAACTGTTTACATCGTGGCAGATCAAGAAAGCCGCTCGCGCGTGACTTTGACTAAAAACATTGTATTCAGCGTCGTGGTGTGTACATTAATTATGCGATTTCTAGCTATTTTAGCCAAACTGTTAATACCAAATCAATGCTGGTTTGTTCAGAATGGATAGACAGTCGCCCAAATAAGCAAAAGAAGGTCCAGATGTTTTCATCGTTATATATGTTTAGGGAAAACGCTCTTAAAACTCTTCGCCGAACATTTTGACGAATTTCTAAAGATAACGGCTGTAAAATGAACTATTCTATGTGGTGACGTGATCGTGCACGATTTAACGCTCGTTTGTGCTTACTAGGTAATAAGCTCCCGTCCCTAGCCACCTCAAGAGGTTTTAAACCACCGTGATTGAGGCTCGCACGCAACTTTCTCTGGTGGGGGAGAGAACTTAATAACGGCTGTAAAAGAGACTATTCTATGCGGTGATGATTCGATTTAACGCTCGGGGCACTTCCTTACGATGGTGTCTCTATGGTATTTATCTTGCTACCTCCAGGGAGGGCGCTTATTCAAAACAGGGCGCCTATTTATTTTGTTTTAAGACAGTAGAATGTGCAAAACAAGGCTTTGGTGTTCAGTTTTGAAAAAGGAAAAATTGCTGAAACTGAAAAATTAACAGATATACAGTGGAAATTCTTGTAATAGTAATAGGTGATGTACTCTAGCATTACCATTACTGAAACAGATAGAGGCGCCGAACATGGAACTTTGGACGTTTGCGTCAACTTTCTTCTTTTCTTTCTGTACAACTCCTTTGCGATCTTCCTTGGTATTTTAGTGCTCACTTTTTCCAACTTATCGATAATTTTTGATGGCGCAAAAAAGGTGACAAGTTATCAATGCAATGAAAGCAAGAGACAGGAGCAGGAAAGGGGTCACTAGGCAACAAATGAAACGACCCCTTTGCAGATATGGGTGGGAAAGGAGGTACCTACGAAAATGTAATTTTCTTCACGAGGTGGGGGGGGGGGGGGGGGAAAGGAAAAGGTTGGCACCCTCTCCTGAACCACTTCGAACAGCTTTTTGCGCTATTGCGCGGAATTAAGGCACGATTAATATTACTTCATATCCACTAAAATCACGAACCACTTTCACAACACACAAATTTGAATAAGCAGGTGTTTAATGAGCTGCAAATATTTTGTAGACAAAATAGAAATAACAAATACGAGTTCACGGATCGAGTTCCTCGTGTTTAAAAAATAAAGTTATAAACTAACTGGCAGTTACATATTCCAAATTTGTAGAAAAAATATTTGCGGGAGCTAACTTCTCCCCGAATATCTATTTCCCTAATGCAAAAAGCGCTAGCGTAAACAACATTTGAAAAGATTAATTGAAACCTAACGGACTATAAGGTGTCCTTTAATCATTTGTACTTCAAATCCAGCAACCTTCCTACTCAGACCACAAATTTCAAGTTTCCATGCTGTCGTCCATTGATGTAGACGAGTGACTGCGTCCCGATGCAGAAAGTCCTCGGCTATAGGACGACTGCAGAGAAAATAGAGAAAAAAAAAAGACATCAGTTTAAATGGCACAATCATTGAAAGAAAAAAGAAAGATTTTTTAAATAAAAAATCGTTTCCTCAACCTATATTAAAAGTGCAAATCTTGATCAGAGGAAAAAGGGTTTGGTTTTTCAGCTTCGGCGTACTGAGCGGGTTCCCCAGTGGACGATGGAAGAGCCAACGACAACAAGCGTTCGCTTTAAATTGGGTGATCAGGTAAGGAGGTATCACCTTCAGGAAGGACTAGGGTTTGGAACTTTGAGGGACGTCCAAGTAGAGCGTGGTTTAAAAAGTGTACACTAGACCTAGTCACCCACTTGAGATTTCCCGGGTCCATGAAATTGTTTGCAAGCAGTTAGAAGGTGCTTTTTAAACTTGGAGTTGGATTCAAAGCATAAAAAGGCATCGAATTTTTTCAGTAAGTATGCATATCATCATTTTTACGATCCCGAAAAGGGAATAGTGCTTACCCTTCTTAAGGGTGTGCTCGTGTCTATCGGTTGAGGAGGGCGGCTTAACGACACCTATCCCACAAACAGGCCGGGTTAGAAAACGCATTTCCAGCGGAAGCTACTTTGCACACTTTAAGTGTCTACTTAAAAACTAGCTTTTATCGACATCAGTAAGTTGTCATTTTGAATTCACTATTTCTGGTAAAAAAAATTTTGAAACTGTGCAAATTTGGAACAGGAGACAATTCCAATTAAAAGTCTTTAAGTTAAAAATAAAGTGTGCAAAGTAATTCAATAATATTTTTGATCTGTGATACAAGCATAGAAATGTCAAGTAAGACGGATTTAGAAGCGATTACAGATGAAGTGGAAAATCAGGAATGGAACAAAGTAGCCGGAAGTGAAGTGGAGAATGGAACAAGGTGTTAAAAGGGGAATGAAGAAAAAGTGATCAATGCAACAATGGCTGGAGTTACGAGCTTAGTGCGGCAGGCGAATCTCTCTCGGCGAGTTGTGTGATGACTTGACGAGTACGACAAAATGAGGTGATCGTACACTGCAAGTTTGTGCCATTGCACTCTCTGAGCTGATATGTTTACCTAAGGTGCAGTCTTCAATCCTCTCCCTTAGGAGTGGGACCGCGGGATCTCTGTGGCATCCACATGCCGAGAGAGAGCAACAGTTAATAGTGAACACCTGACAAGTTAGGCTACAGATTATCAGCTCCTCGCCCAGTTTAGTGGAATATCAGATATACTCACCGACACTAAGCTAAGTGCATAAAGATACCAAATAAATAAGATTTCAGCATGGAAAAGGCAGACAGCATTGGCGCACACATCACTAGTTCTGTTAAAGATTATGAGTGAGGCTTGACCCTACATATACTCACCGACGCCAATTAGGTGCGTGCAAAAATATTTCAAGATACATAATAAATAAGATAAAGAATTAAAGTAGAAAAAATAGGAAGAAAAGTCTTAAATTCATTGAAGAGACATTAAGCGAGCCCAATAATTAAAAAATATATGTATATGTTGGATGGAAAGAAATACAATCATAAATACGATAGATTTTAGCTCGAGGAGAAAAATGAAAAGAATTGGAAGCTGTAGAAGATCTCAGAAAGATACGCAACTGATTTGAGCCAAATCAATTCACAGGCAATAATCTAAGATGTTCAGAGTTGCTCAAGTGAGCATTGATTGGATCGAATTAAGCTCAATACGACAGGCAGGTGCCTTTAATACACAAAGCAGAAATTACAAGCCAAGAGTATAAAAAGAAAAAGCACAAGGCACTCTCGACTGGATGAAGTGTATCTGAGTTAGGAAGGGTGCCAGACGGAAACTGGGAAAACCGCGGTGGAACAAGGTGCGAAGTACGTTGGTTTTCAGTGACGTTGACTCTGTGAACCACTAAAACGCACCCGTCAATCAAATTAAGAGACGTATGCATGTCAAACAAGGTTGAATCAGGCAGTGTGGCATACCTCAAGTTAATTATACTGAGAAAAGAGCTGGAGAGGAACTATCCAAAGAATAGCACAATGAAAATAGCTCTTAGTCAAGCAGGCATAAACATAAAATACAACGACGAAAACGACCTTGAAAATGAAAAGGATTGAGATAACAAAAGAACAGACAGTCAGACAGTAAAGCAAAAGTTTACGTGAAGACATTCATCAACAAATCACCAGGCTCGTCATGTCATCGTAAAATAAACAAACGATTTGTAAACAAGTCATCAACTTTCATTAAACTGCTGTACTTAGCACAGAGCTGGTACACCAGTTAAGCGGAACGAAATCTAGACGTTGAAAGACTGCCAAGATTGTCAGCTTTATAGGAGATTTGGCCGAAGGTCATGTTTACTTAACTTAGGAAATTTATTATTCGCACGAGGCGCTACTTAAGAGTGAAAACTATGCTCTGGACCACACTTTTAGGCCATGCTAATAATAGAACGGAGGTTTTATTTTGACCAATCGACGGCGTTAACCGTTATCAATATCTTTCATCTTCTTTTTTATGCAAATTTCATTCATTCTTTGCCAACGAAAGCAAACACTAAGGACGCAATATGTCAAGTCTCAATATTTACATTCCAAAGCGGTGACAATTTACACCTCCTTGTCTACTAATTCATTTATTGAAGCCAATAAATCGTCATTAGGGGAAGAAAGCATTTATTCACAATGGAACTAGTGAAACTCTTCGTTTCTTAACTTGAGAAACAAGTTTGGCGTGCGCAATTTTGGGTTTTTCGTAGTAATGATACTCTTTGTTTCCTAGCGTGAGAAACAGTTTGGCGAGCGCAATTTTGGGTTTTTCGTGGATCAGTGAATTTCCCAATCATTCATACAATGATGAAAAGTTTTATTTAGAGAAATCCTTTTTCACATAGTTTGAAACTAATTCAGTTGGAATTGACGAAGTACTGACACGGGTAGAACCGATAATATATCTTGACATGACGACCCACTAATAAAATCTGAAAGAATCACAAAAGACGTGGCACAGGAGACAGAAAAGAGAACATCAAGAAGACAGAGAGGTATGACAAACAGACGATGACAAACAGACGATCGGGTCAATAATAGCATGAGAGTCTGGAGTGATGGTCAGAATCTCTGGCGGAGTTTGGAAATGACGAAGCTCTGACGCGGGTAGAGCCGATAATATTTCTCGACATGACGAGCCCCTAATAATAATCACAAAAGACTTTCCACAGGAAAAAGAAAAGAGAACTTCGAGAAAACAGAGAGGTATGGCATACAGAAGTTCGAGTCAATAATAACTTGAGAGTCTTGAGTTATTGTCTAAATATCTAGTAGAGTTTGGAGACAGCGAATTAAGAGAATAGTATCTGTGATGTAAAGGAGACAAAGGCCTAGAGACCTCTCTGGACGTCGTTCTCCCAACTCCTCCAGTACTGACACCGGCACGAGAGCGGGAACGGACTTTGTTCAGGGCGCTCTCAGCTGTCTCTGCCCGCTCCTCAGCTTCCTCTAGACAGCACTGCAACTTACGCGTTTTGGCGAGGTACTGGGCGGCAAGGTTCTCCTGCAATAGATTCAAGCATAAAAATTAATTAGAAAATGAAAGTTTATAGCTCCATATAAATGCGTCTAAACATAAATAAGACATTCTTCTATGTCGTAAAACTGTGAAAGAGCAACAGGTCGGTAAAGAACGTGACGTATGGAGCAGGCAAGAAAAACAGATGAAGAGGAGAAAAAGAATACGAAGATAGAGGAAAATAGGAATAATAATAATAATAATAATGATAATAATAATAATGATGATAATGATGATAATAATAATAATAATAATAATAATAATAATAATAATAATAATGATAATAATAATAACAATAGTGAGCTACAAAAGCTTTTAGAAGAAAACCAGATCAGTCTTGAAGCCTACAATGAGAATGAGAAAAATAAAGGAGGACAGACGGGTACAGAATGCCAACAGGAATGAAAAAGAACGAGAAAAGGAGAGAACAAGAACAGAAGAGATAGAACGTACCGCTTCCTCCTGGTTGACCTTGGTATTTTTGATCTTCTTGTTGAGGCGATCGATCTGGTCCTTGGAGTGTTGCAGGTTCTTTTGATCTTCCTCCTGTTGCTGAAGCACGTCCTTCAGACGCCGTTCTGTCTTCTTGGCATTCTTCGAGTTCTCAGAGTTACGTCTGGTCTCGTTGTCCAGGTCGACCTCCAATTCTCGAACCTGGTTAAAAAAAGCAAATGAGAGGGGATACTCAAAGCAAAGCCGACGCGGTTACGCAACTGTATCAGCGAACAGAATGGAAACAGAAACAACATCACGGTTGTCGTCTCCCTCATTCATTCCCTCAATCCCTCACTCGATTCTGACGATGATTTCCGCCACGGTTGTCGAAACGTCAGTCACTTCTAACGACAACTGTCCTTCCCAGGACTTCTCTCAAACGGACGATCTGACCACGCGATCAAATGTTACTCCTGAATTAACCCTTTAACTCCCAGATCAAATTTGTCATTCTCCTTACTGTCAACCATACAATTCTTATAATGTTAGTTCAGAGAATGTAGTATTGGATCAACTGATTATCCCCAAATTGATATTTTTCTCGATTCTCATCATTTATCTGGTTGATAATGTATTGATATTGTAAGGAGAAATTCTGTCTTGGTCACTCATGGGAGTTAAAGGGTTAAAACCATTTACTACATATGAAGCAAAGACTACTTGCGAGTATTAAAGTAAGATAAAATCTTTACTTTGTAACAAATCGTACATGTATACGTTACAAGGACGCGTACCCTTTGTTCCAGCTTCTTGATCTGGTTCTTGAGCGCTTTCCCGCCTTGTGCCTCAAGGTCTTCAAGTTTTACTTCCAAATCCTTGACCTGACGTTCAGCCGACAAACGGACTCTATCAGCATTAGCCAAGCGGTCTTGAGTCTGCTGAAGTTCTTGCTGCAAACGGGCCAACTGTATATACAAGCGAAGAAACATTAAGTTTGAATTAATCATTGGATTGCTCGAGGTATTCACAAGAGGAATCTACTGGTGAAAAATGAACAAGAAAACAAGTCGATCATAAAAACGGTTACAGAGTGAAAAGTATTATTCCACGTTAGTTATCACGTGACACCCTTCCATGTCCCTTCCCCTCCTCCGCCCTCGTATAACCCCCTTACTCATGCTTTCTCCCCCTCTTTCGGAGAAACTTCGATATTAGAGGACGATGAACGAGGATGTACGAAGATAATTTTACCAAGGCATATCGAGTAAATGTAATGCGACTCTAAGTTACCAAGAACAACTCCGCATTTAGGCATATATTATAATAAACTTAAGATTTTTTTACAAATTGTTAGTAGGAAACTAGCAGCGAGAAACCAGATTGTTTGTAGGAAACTAGCAGCGAGCAACCAATATGACGACGTGCAGTATTTATCTCATTTGACACTAAAACTGACCTCCCCCCCCCCCTTACTGATTCAGAGAAAGAGTAAGGTAGGACCTTCAGTGACACTATCAACTCTTCGCGTGGAGTCTTCTCTCACCTCGATGGCAGCCTTCTTGGCCCTGTCATCAGCATTCTTTGCCTCATTTTCCAGGTCCTCTGCCTCCTCTTGCATGGTGTTTATGGTTCCTTCCAGTTTGCGCTTGGCCTGCGTGAGGCCATTATTCTGGTTGGCCAACTGAGTTGCATTATCCACTGCCTCTTGGCGCTCTTGTTCGGCTTGCTTGCGAAGACGCTCAGCCTAACAACGGCAAACACAGGGTTACCAAAAAAATAAGTTAACGATAATAGGAGGCAAAACAACACCAACAAGTTAAGCGACCTAACTTCTGAAGATTAACGAAGACCGTCGGAGGAGGAGGACTGTTGAATTTACTTGAACTCGCCCTTTAACGATATTCACCCGAAAAGTCCGAAGAAATCCGAAAACTCAACAAAACCTATTACCGAGGATCGACTAATCATAATTGCTTGCTCACACCGATTTGTAACTCAGCAATAAAATTATGATTATCTACTATTAATGTCATGAAAGTTGAATTGATGGGTAATTACAACGATACTCGTACCTGTTCGAGCTGATTGCGTAGTTCATCCAGCTCCGAAGCGATGTCACCGACACGACGCTCGGCTTTAGCGGCGGCCTCACGAGCATCGTCTCGGCCTCGTTGTTCCTCTTCTACCATTAGCTGCAAATCCTGTACACAGGGTACAGTACCAAGGATTAGTCATGTACAAACAGCAAATTCTGATGGTTGACTTAACGATGTTTTGCTAAATATGGAATGTAAGTCATTTTTTGTCTCCATACCCCTATAACTTAACGGACTAGCGAAATAACGAATATAAGTACTGGATTAACTTCCTGTCACACAAACCTTCACTTGCTGTTGCAACTTCTTCAAGTTCTTCTGGAATTCTCCATTCGCCTAGAAATCGAAACGAAACTTAGTTTCACTATCATGGTTGGATAACAAAATTAACAACTGCAAACTCAGAACAGGAAATGACGAAAAGGGTCCAAGTGTTTATCTCACCTTCAGAGCATTGTCCAAGTTGATCTCTAGTTCATTATTGGCTGCTTCCAAGTTCTTTTTGGCTCGCATCTACGAAATAAAAATTAAGTCGTAGTCACATCCAAGACAAAAATTTCATACCAGAATGGGAAGGAGTTTCCATAACTGTCGTCTTCCAACTAAGATAGAAGAAATTCTTGTTAATGAGAGAGGAGAGATAAAAAAGATGTTTACCAAGTCGCTCTTGGACTTCACTTCAGTTTCCAAAGAAGCTTGGAGACTCTCCAACTGGCGACTGTGATTTTTCCTACAAAGAGAACTTACTATGTTAAAACAAAGACATCAAACCAAGGCCGCAGCAGTGATAGGGAAGGGATCAGTTTTATTTCAAACCTGCCTTTCTTCACTGTCCTTGTGTTAAACCTTGAATAATATTTTACAGAAGGAGTCCTTTATTCAAAAGCTCTAAAACAAAACAAAAACGAATCCAGGAAAAATTAACCTTAGGTTTTCAAGCTCCTCATCCTTGTCGGCGATTCTCTTCTCAGCCTCCTGTTTGTACTGAGTGAGTTCTAGTTGAACCCGCGTTACCTTAGATTCTTCGGCTTCAAGAGCGGCCTCAATTTCCTGAAAAGCAACAAAACACGTGATTTCAAATTCGCCCCAGCCTGTTCTCCTTAGCGCCCGTCTTGAGAAACGGAGACAACCAGTTTTATGCCATGATTGCTTTTCATCCTCTTAGAAACACAAGTTTTGTTCTGATAAAACAAAATTTCCCAGTCGCACAATCGAATCAGAACATCTTATAGTGCTCTGCATACCTCTAAGGCGTTCTGCAATTCATCTTTCTCGAACTCGAGTCTCTTCTTTGCTTTCTCAATTTCCACAACAGACTTGCCGCCTTCTCCAAGCTGATCCGCCAGATCAGCAACCTCAGCTGAGAAGACAAGTTAGGGGAATATCAGTACAGAACTTCATGTAACAATTGAGGTGACATTCGAGAAGTATGTTGTTCAATTGCTGGCTTTTAGATGCAAAATTTGTAAGGCATTTGCATAAGCAAATTTTCCTAGCCAGGTATTGAGAGTAACCTAACCTTCCAAACTCTTCTTTTCCCGTTTCAAAAGTTCCATCTGCTCGCTCATTTCGTCATTCAAGCCTTTCAGTTTGAACATCTGAAATCAAATAAAGCATAAGTTTGAGTTTAAATTTTCATCTCTCATGTGCCCTAAAACTCATGAGGAAAAGTGGTAGTAGAAGCAGATTTTTGACAGACCTCAGTAGAGTAATTACGGGCCTCTTTCTGTGCATTGTCAACTTCAGCTTGAAGCTCGTCGCATCGTACTTTCCATTCGTTTATCTGCTGATCAAACTTCTTTTGTTTCTTTTCAAGATTGGAAGCGTTGGTTTGTGCCTGTTAAGAGAGAGAACATGGCCCTTAATTCTAGTGTAGCATTTCGTTTGGTTAAACAACTTAACAGCATGGAGCAGTTGCAATCTTTATGGCAATAAATCAAACCTTCTCCAGGTCGATAAGTGCATCTTCCAATTCCGAGTTAAGTCTGTTCTTTGCTTTCTCGGCATTACTGGCTTTTTGTGAGGCGCTGGAGAGGGCTTCTTCTGTCTCCTGGAGTTTTTGTGTCAACTTGCGTCTGTCAGGAGTCAAAAGTTAGATACGACTTATCACAGGAACAAAGTGGATAATATCTGATGTTTGATCCCTATAGGGGACCTTCAGGGGCACCCTCAGGACTGAAAGAGATCCCTGAATAGGAGGATTTCATTCAGTTAACCCTTTTAACTCCTGGAAGAGATTAACATGAAACTCCTTTCTAAAATACCCATACATTAATCAACAAACAGGTAATGAGAATATTCAAACTTATCAGGTAGAAGTTGCTGTCTTGATCTAGCACCAAGTTCTCATAACTAATTCAACAAGGAAATGTGTAGCAGCTACAAGGGAGAATTAACAATCACATCTTGGGAGTTAAAGGTTTAAGGTATCCGATACCAGGGCTACAAGAACCTTCCTTTCATAAGATTTTGTCTTCTAGATGAAAGTGTCTCGCGTATGAATGCGTAGCAAGTGTGAGTTTATCAATAATCAAAATTACACTCTTCTTTCCCTCCTCAAAACTATCAATCTATTCATCGTCAAACTGTCAAAGAGAAAATGATTCTGTGAGAAAACAACTAACTGAGCAACATTTCGCCTGGCAACTTGTGGTAAAGGTAAAACTTCAACCTTATCTATAGTAGCAAAGATTTAAAATTTCTTTTCCAAAATAAAGCCACAGTTTGAAATTTTTAATTTCTTTTGTTTCGTTAGGTCTTTTGTCAATTTTTCTGTTGAGTTATGAGTTTTAACATTTGACATACTTGGCGTCCTCCAGTTCTTCCAAGCGTCCAGACACTTCCTGTTCGAACTTTGCTTTCAGCTGTGTGTTCTCGGTGTTTGCTCTCGCAAGTTGTTTCTGCAAGTCAGCCTTCCCATCCTCCAGCTCCTCAATTGTTTCCTGCATGCTGTCCAGGTCAGCTTCGGCGTTCTTCAATTTGTTCTGAGCGTCCAGTTTAAGCTACAAAGCGAAACATTCAAAGTTCTTGAGATCGGTCGCATTTTGACGAGTCAAAATTTAGGAACTGATGCAGACATTCACCCCTCAGCTATTTTTCTATCCCCAGAAAACTGTGTGCAGTCTAGGAAACTCGTGCAGCAATCATGCAGTAACCCATATTGACTTCACCGTACGCGTCTTCACAATGATTTTCTGAGCTTGGGATTGGTCACTTTTTTCAGCCAATCAGATGTAAGGATTAAAACTTTCATGTTTTCCCGCGCTTTGCGTATCTTAACGCGATTTGTTGTGAAATTTTTCTTTGACTGGTCGATAGAGTCTCTATGCCTTTAAATATACCCAGATATACTCCAGCTTGAAAAATTAAGGAAAAACTCTGATGCACTCACCCGAACTTCCTCTTCATTCTGCCTTTTGAGCTCTTCGACGCTCTGTTCGAGAGCTTTCTTGTTTTTCAGAAATACGGTAATTTTTGATTCATACTCTTCCACTTGCTTTCCAAGATCTCCTCCTTCTTGAGTCAGCCGACTGCGTGCGATCTCTAGTTCAGCAACATTCTTCTTTAACTCCTCCACCTAATAAAACACTCTGATTAGCAATCATCAAGACCGCTTTAAATTGCTACTGTTTCATTCACCTGACTTTTTTTGCCGTGCTTATTTTCGTGCCCAGTGTAGGGTCATTTAAAAGCGTCCACAAAAATGCGTTTAAGCAGGCTTCTTTGATTTAGAGTTCCCTAAAGTGCATAGACCGACCGCTTTCTCTAAACTTTCCTTCAAATTCCCACGGGGGGACATCTGCTGCTTGAAAAATGTGCTTGAGGCGACAACACTTCTTGTTGCTCACTTCACGATGGAATTTCATAAAACTAAACACCTTTGCCTTATTCTACACTTTATCATTGCAGCGACAATCCATTGAAAACAAAGCGTGTTTTAGTGTCTAGAGGGCCGAGGAGAAAGTTGGAGCATAACCAAAAAAAACATGTTTATAATGACAAAAAATGACTTCCAGAGTCAACAATTTTGTGGCCATCTTCGTATTAAATCTCTTCAATTTGTCCGCAGACAATCTAGCGTCGACTAGAAGTCAAATCCTTTTGACAGCTCCATGAAAGCGGGTTAAAAAAACCATCCTTATTAGCGCCTCAGACATGACAGACTGGAACATGAATAACGCGCTTATTAACCAACCTGGTATTTGTGGTCATTAAGCTGCTCCTCAAGGGCTCTATTCTGCTTGTCGGACTGGGTCTGACAAAAATTAACACAACATTAAATAGATGGGATAAGATGAACAAAAACACGGAAAACAAGAAATTAGCCTGAAGCAAAATAGTATAGGTACAAAAATACCTTTTGTTTTTGCAGCGTTTCTAAGCTGACAGAAAGATCGTCTCCTTCAGCCTGCAGTGCATTTTTTTCCTTCTCGATCCTACAAAGACATTCAACATCTAATGAGTCACGCATTGAAATAAAAACAGTCTCACCAAACGGCATCAGTGTCAAGTTATTAGGACTGCTCTCAGTTGTTTTCGAGGAAAACGCACACACCCACGGCTGAGGTGAGAAAATCACATATCTTTAAGGTATCACGCGTCTTTTTCTTACTTAAGGAAGGCGTTTCGTGACATTCTACAGAAAGCCTAACATCAGCGTTGTGTGACATTCCAGAGAACGGCTCAGGAGAGCTTTGCATGACATTTCAAAGAACAGCTGCAGAGGAAACTTGTAAGACTGAGTATGCGTTACATACTTTGATTTAGCTTTCTTCAAGGAGTCCATTTCGTCCTGCAATTCTTGCATGGCTTGGTTCTGTTTGGCTCGCATACTATTGACGGACTGTTCATGCTGAGATGCCTGCTCTTCCAGTTCCCGCCGCAGCCTGGTTATATCACCTTCACGCTTTTTGTTCAGGTCAATCTACAGCAAGGGAACCAATGATTATGTGAAATATAAGAACCACAACTTGCTTCTGACAGCCTAAAAGCACGACATTAGTCATTACAATGTCGCACATGCGCAGGCGTTCGACCGCTGTGTTGGGTTCGATTCACGAGAAGAGTTTGTTGTCGGTTCTAGTCCCTGCTCTGAAGCTTTTGTAAGTGTTTCCTAGTTTTCCTCCATTCACAAAGAACAACGGATGTACTTACATGAATTTTAACTCAATCTAGCTTTGCTTCTTTATCAAAATCACATGAAACTCGTTTAACAAACTCTCGCTTAGCGAATGGAGACAAAAATAAGTAAAAAAAAATGATACATAAATAAACTCATTTTACCTGTGCTTGTGTGGCGCCCCCTTGCTCTTCCAGCCGTTCATTCAGATCATCCAGTTCCCTCTCGAGTTCCATTCGCGCTCGTTCCGCCTGATTGATGACAAACCGGAAATAGAAATAAGCTTCTACACAGCAGTGCGACGAATACTTCCCGGTCAAACCTGCTGTGTGCATGCCACATGTCTTGTCTAAACTTTTATTAGACAGTTAATGTGTAATTTGTGGGACTCGCTCCGAGCATTGTTTGATAATCATAACACAATTCCATAATTCTAAACAGCTTTCTTGCGATAAAAGTCAACCCTGTATTTTTCGATAATTGATTTGACACATATGACGGAAGTTTTCATCAGCTAATAGCTATTTGTCTGATTTCGTTGACAGTAATCGCATAACAAAATACATACGCCATCTCGCAAAGCTCTTCTATGAATTGAATTTAACCTTTAAGTACTTAGCGCTCTTTCATTGAAGAGAGAAGATGGGAGTTACATTCTTTATCGGAATATCCAAGACCTTCAACGGTGCCGCTGTATCATCACTGCAGGACGGAAGCCACATTCCGAAACGAAGATTAACTAATAATTGTTTGCAAACAAAGAATCTACACTGTAATTCTTATTCAAATAAGGTTGTTCTGGAATGAAAAGTCATTCCGGCGCGAAATATTTCAATTTGCCCTCTTCGTTAGGCCGTTATGAGGTATTACTTGAAGAACAGCTCATAGAAGGCGTCAAAAAGATAAAACCACAACATACCTTAGATCGAGCATTCTTCTCGGCTTCAAGTTCTTCTTCCAGCTCCTCGATTTTGGCCTGAAAAAAAACAAAAGAAAGTAAAAAATCGTTGAAGCGAAAACACCTCTGACCAGAATATTTCACACCTAACTGTACTTTGATTTTCAAAGCGATCTGCCGACTGCTTCGTCTTATAAACACTCGGGCTAAATACCGAATACACAAGTCCGATATTCTTCAAACCAAACCTTGAAACCGACATTTTACGTATACAGTATCAAAACGAAAATCCAATGCAAGTGTAGAATAGCCTTATGCAAACATCACAGGCTATATTTTGCAATAAATTGAATGAACTGATTCAAATTTAACAATAATTTATCACACTTAAGCGCAATATGTAGAACGCTGCAAAGTGCTGTAAATCGACACATGTGCGATTTCACATCGCCCTTTAGCAAACACTGCATTTCCATTTTTCTCGCTAAGAGATATTTTTACCTACAGCGTATTTGTTATCCGATGGCTGAACATATAATCTGTAGTTGTAAGACTCCGCCGCCCACATTTCCCCCGGAAAAAAGTCCACAAATGTTAAGAATTCTTCATCTCCGATTCGAAATCTACTCAGCGAGGACAATCAGCTATCCCACACGCCTCGTGATCATGTTATGCAGGAATGCATAGTTGCGTTAAGTCCAATTAACGGTTTAATCTTTAGTCAATGGATCATCAAAATTCAACCATCAAAACAAAGGGAAACCCTAACAGCGCAAACAGATTTCACAAAAGACCAGACTTCCAGTCGTACATCTCCTTAGTGCATGGAAAACGAACTTAAAAGTATACATCACAGGTTTCACAAAGGTCAAACGACAATCCGGGGCGGTTAATAATAATTTCGTTTCATCCAACGATTGAGTCTTTTTACATCATTCGACAGACAAACCCGCGACAAATCGCTCTGAAATCTAGTCGCTTAACGATCGTGACTAAAGCACCACATACCGGAGCGCTCTGAGTGACATGCGAGTAGCACTCGTATACATTCGAGTACATACGGCTACATACGAGCGGCATACGAGTACATACGAGTGACATACGAATACCTGCGACCTACAATACAACTGTTCCGAAATATCTTTATGCAAACTTTTTATCACCTCCAACTCTCTGATCTTCTTCTTTAAAGACTCGATTTGTGCAAGAAGATTTTCGTTGTTGCCGTTGCTTTCACTTAGCTCTTGCTCCTTTCTGTGTAGAACAAAACAAAACAGCACAACCTTCAATTTTTTTGAACAATTTGATAACCCACAAGTATATCAAATAGAGCTGGTGTTTATACAATAAACCACGATATTGCTGATAATGGGATTCTCTCTTCCCCCCTCCTCCCCTTAAAAAATTGCTTTTCTACCCGTGACTGCATGGTCCCACGAGCCAAATATAGAGGGGTCAATACCGCTGACAGTTTACCTTCGCAAGTCGTCCTCGAGACGAGCTTTTTCACCTTTGACATCCTCTAAGTTGTCTTGGGTCATCTAAACAGGGTGAAAAAAGGAAACATGAATATTAACGCAAGGTATTAAGAAAATGAACGACACTTTTTAAATTTAAAAAGATGCTTCGACAATTCTTCTGTCATCCTCAGTTCTAAATAATACAATGGACAAAGTTGAATTTTACGTGTAACAAAATGCTGATTGGACAAAACAAACAATAGTAACAATGTTTTGTCCAATCAGCATTTTGTTACACACTTTAAATTCAACATATCTGCTTCTATTCAGACCTAAGTTCAGATTCCACTAAATGATTTCTTCATTTCATAGTACCGCCGAAGTCCTCGGCAACTTTTTACAGTGGCTCTGCATTCCACGGTAGGCAAGAACGAGTAAACTGTGGTAACCCGCGCATGACTATTCAGCACCTTACCTTGAGGTCACCTTCCAGTTTCCTTTTGACTTTCTCCACATCCGCGCGCGACTTCTTCTCTCGTTCCCACTGTTCTACTGTCTGCAATAGCACAAAACAAGCACACGTAAGGTACAGTTCACGCTAAATTTGTCACTTCAAGGACAGGCTTGAGAAAGTCGAAGGTCCACCCACCTCGTCAATTTGTTGTTCAAGTTTCGATTTCACTTTGTTAAGGTGATTGACTTTGTCTTCCTCTTCTTGAAGCTGGTCTTCGAGTTCCTGATGACAACAAAAAGAAACCTCGTCAATTCCACTAAGTCAATTGAATCCTGGAACTTTCTTATCTAATGAAAACAAATTCTGACGCGAGGACGCTACCATTGAAAGAACCTACGGGTCCTCTAAAATCATCTGCAATATCCTTTGTAGTAACTATTCCCGTCCCTCTTTAGTTTACGGAAATCTCTAATTGGTCTATGTGAAGAACGTTTCAGATTTTTATGGCCCTTTCCACACTCTTTAAGGTAGACGATCGTGGTAGTTTATCACAACGATGAATCTCACCTGTTTCGCTTCCTCGAGCGCTTTTTTCTCTTTGGATAGTTTAGTAATGGATTCGTCTTGGGCGGCAAGTTCGTCCTGAAGTTGTTCAGCATTTTTCTCTCTGCTCGAGATGTCTTGTTCCGCCTATAAATAAAAAAGGCAAATCAAGATTATCTCTCACGCTTTTGACGACAAGTAGTCTACACGAAGTATGCTAAAATAATATTTACCCTAAAAACAAACGGGAATACTTTGGATTCTTTTTTTGACAAACATAGGATCAATATACAGTGGATTTTGTTTATATCAGAAAGCATCTTGACCTACAATGGTACCTTTTTGAGAGCCGTTTCTAAATCTTCTACGTCTTGTTTGAGATCGCTGATTTCTGCCTCCATCTTCTTTCTGGCTTCTTGCATTTCAGCACTGTTCTCTTCTTCGTCGTCGAGTTGTTCGGAGAGGTCCTGTCAAAAGGTGAAATAAAATAGGTCATTTCAAAATGAACAATTTTTTGCTCAGACATCTTACGCCTTGACCAACGCCCAAGTTGTGTTTAGTTTCGATACATTCCGCTTTAAGTGTTCAGATATTTACATACTTTTTTCTGTTAATTGTTTCCATTATCTTTATCCTTAAGAATTTTCCTGTCAACAAACCACTGATTGCAATAAAAATAACAACAATTCTTTTCTTTTGGTACCTTGATTTGATCTTCCAATTTTTCCTTCTCCTTTTGCAGTTGACCGGCTCTGTCCTCTGCATCTGCACATGCGTCTTGCTCCTGTGTTTGAAGTAACAAAAATCTCCTTACAAGTTGCCATACGCTTACTTCATCATTGGTGCGGCGAATTTTGCGTTGCGTCATCCTTCTGTGTATTTTATAATTACTCTATAAACGATTCACTTGACATAAAGATGACACCCTTATGAGAAATGAGGCGTGGTACTATACAGACGAAAAAAATGCAAAGACGTGATGCTGCTGTTTCGCCTCAATGTCACAGAACGGCATTTTAACGCGAGGAACTTTCAATGAGCAATCACGCTATGGAGGGCTTATACAATGAGTGAGTAGTAAGCTATACTCACAATTATCAAAAACCACCAACGAATAAATTCATCGAGAGACGAGAGAAACTTCTTTTAAAGGCTACGTGACCGAAGTCATTTTTACGATGCTTTCCCACGTATTCTAGACCTACTTTAGCTGTTCTGATATTTTAAATGTAATGGTGTTCTCGAAAGTAGCAGGTTTGCCTGTAGATCATCGAAAACTCCCAACAGGCTGTTCTTCCCATCTGTTTAGCCGATGCGATTATAGCCCATTAAATATCGCACCGACAGACTACTACCCGATCGACAATCATACTGAATCGACATGGTAAGGTGGGCACGTACAGATTGCAGATTCTGGAACAATTCGTTCTTCTCTTCCATCAGTTTTGTGAGTTTTTCTTCCATTTCTTTCCTGAGCTCTTCTTCCTTTGCAAATCTTTCTTGCAACTTCTTGAGCTGAAGGAAAAAACGTAAGCAGTAAAACAGAGTGTCATTTCACACTAAGAGCATTTCTCAGTGTTTCAAATCGGTTCGTGTTTCAGTTTATTCAAAGGTGTACGTCAATTAAAAATGTCATCATCGATCGAAGAGATAGTACTCGCCTACAAAAATAGTGACTATTACGCGAAAGCAAGTGAGGTGATAGATTGCGTGACATGCCTGGACCAAGAACCCAAGTTGCGTGATTTTACTCACATGCACTGAGCCGCGTTATGTTGTCGTTGTTTCCAGGAAAATAAACGGAAAAGAGGGCGTATGCCTTCATGCAGTTGTTGGGTTTTCTTGAACAATTACAATGGTGCTATTTACTTCCGTTACTTTTGGCTCTGGAAACTAAATGTGCATTTATTTATCGAACTGGAAACTAAACCGAGGGCATCTATTCATTGAATTTGACACCGGAAAAGAATACTTACCTCTTCGGCTTTTTCTCTCATCTCTTCGTCAGCACGAGCGATGTTCAACAGAGGCTTGACCTAGCAGCACAAACATAACAAAAATGTAAGTTAGCACTCACAAAAAGACTCAGTATTGTATTCTACTATATTTTCCTTCCATAAATCAAGCTAGAGCTCTACGGCATCTACATCTTTAGCTATAGAAATGACCTCATCGATTTTACCTTTGTGTAAAGTCTCCACCACGACCAGTTTCTCAGGAACAGATACTTCCTCACGTTTCGTTGGATAACAGCAATTCCGATTCTGTAGGAAAAAAAATACGGTTGTAAAAATTTGTGACATGTGTATATAAGCAGCAAATAGGGAAATTACTGAGAAAAGCTATGGAAAAATTGAAGCGTCAAAATTCATGCGGTGACATTTCTTCTTCAAGTAGCGTTCACACCAAGTAGATTGTCCATCGAACCTTGCTCCTCGATCGCAGCTCGTTTCGGGTTTGTAGGCTTTCGAGATCGTTCAAGAAATCACCGATAAATTCAGAAGTTGAGAAAATGGGCTTAAAATGTGATTTATGTTTCATTGGGGCAGAAAAGACCAACTTTAAATGAATGTCAAAGTGATCCGGGATTGCTTTGGTTTTATTCAACTACGCGCTCTGTGATTAGTTCAGAAAACTCGCGCCATCCTCTCAACCAATCAGACACAAGACTAACACAATCGCAACTTGCTCATTGGTTATAAAATAATGATGTTCTGATTGGTCGCTAGGATTACTTCGGTCTTGGTTTTCCGTCACTCAGTTAAAAACTGCTCCATATTATTTTAGGGCAATCACCTTTGGTCGCACATCTTGCGGTATTCTTTGCGCATCAGGTAACCTTTGCAGTATGCTTGGAACATGGAGATGACTTTGGCCAGCCTTTCATCTCTCATGTCTTCTAGTTCACCCAAGACTCCAGCTCGGAAGAAGACCTGTTTGAAGTGCACCATTGCTTAAGTCAGTGGGTTTTAAAATGGTAATACACTATGCTAATAAATCATTTCAATTTCCCGATCTCTGGCAGATGTATAATGAAAATGAAATCAGTAAGTTTTGTCTACTCTTAAGCCACTGAAAAATCTCTGAAAACCAACCGAGATATTCTTGATTTTTTTTTTGGTCATTCAAACGAGCATATCACCTTGCTGGTTCCAACCCTGTAAGACTGCTTTTCCAGTTGCATGGCATCAAGAAGCTTCTCACAAGCCTTCTTGCCATCCATAAATCCACCAGCAAGAGCAGTTGGTGCCAGGATCTGGTATCTAGAAAACAGAGAATATTAAAATCAATAAAAAAAACACCAATTAAGGCAAAAGACACATTACAATCCAATCCTACAGAATGCCAACAGTGGTAAGGCGAGAAATACTTAGTTCTGAAAGTGATGTAAGGAACCTTTGTGGTTCTTAAAGAAAGATCAGTACCAAATCCAGAGAGCAATGTTGTATCATTCTTGGATCGTTTCAAAAGAGCACGCTGATATGTGTAGACGCGAGCAGGCGTGGAAACTGATTCCAAGGGACGCGTTCATCCATTGTGCACTCACCTCTGTCGGAATTCCTGGAAGGGCACCCTGTTTGGGAATCCTTTTCGGCAGATACGGATACCTTCCAGAACACCATTACACCTCAGCTGATGCAATACAAGTGACGACTCGATCACACCAGCTTTCTTATGTTCATTTGGAACAATGCAGCGCACAAAATGAGGACAAGTGCTGTACAGGGTATCCATAAGACGTGTAAGTTGTTCCTAAATGAAAAGGAAGATAACAGGATGAATCAAAGCCGTTAATATTAAAATAAAACGTCAGCAAAGTCTTGTTTACACGGATGATTACAAAATCTAAACACCTTTAATAATAAAGATGGCATCTTATCATGTGATGTTTCTGTGGTGCAACGCATAAAAATTTATTTCATACCTTGTGCTTGCTACTGACGGTCTGGAAGCTGCCTCCTTTGCCTCTGGCATGAGCTGGAGTATCCGTGAAAGAAAATACATAATCATTGCAAACAAACAGCTTCAATACGCGAATAATATTATGCACGGGGGCAGACTAATCACACATCACATACTGATAATTTATTACAAAATTACCTTAAATTACCTCAACAAAATTCAAATGGTCTTTTTTTACTTGTCTCCATGCGTCGCAATATGAAAGCAATTATTCCCCCTCTTTCTAAGTGCTAGAAATTTCTTTGTAGAAAACTTTCGAGATTTCCACGTTACAGCGTACATCAAAACGATATTGTCTGATTGGCACTCTTTCTAATACTTAACTACAGTTTCCTGAAGGGAACATGGGCACTACAAAGAGTTACGCATCAATCACTTCAAGGAATCTTGAGGAGAACCATCCTACAATCACGTTGGCAAATTCTTTATTTCTATAGTCATTTTCTAACTCCACAAGGATGCTACAGCGGTGCACCTTACGGAGACTTTCCTTAATTTTGATTTTTTTAATTAAGAATGGTTCCACTCTTACATTCACTGGCGTAATCCTTGAAAAGGTGAGCAATAAATGGATCAGAGGACTTGGCAAACAGTGTTGCAACAGCTTCGTTGATCGGATCCTTGTTTTTGTCCAACCATCCATCAACATTGTATCCTACAGTGCCGGCGTAATGAGCAACTTCAAAGTGGTGATTGGTGTCTTTCTTGCCGGAGATTTTAGGCTTGGAATACTTAGGATGCTTGCCGTCATGGTTGTTGTTCAACTTTTGTAAGAATGTCATGTCTGTTGCCTTCGGGACAATGCACTCTTCTTCCAGAATGGCAAATACTCCCATTGGCTGAAATAAGACAATGGAAGATTAGCAAAATATCAAAGCTGTGCAACACAGGTAACCCACCCCTTGAGTATTTACTAGACAGCTTTCCTAAACAATTTGCTTCTTTCACCTAATATAATCCTTCTTTTCTCCAGATGCCTACACACACAAGTGAAAACCTTTTAATTCTTTATCGGCCATTCTTGAGAGTGCATACGAAAGACAACATCAGGTTCCAAAATATCATTGACATTTTTTTTGAAGACATTGTCTAACAAACCTTCTCAATGAGTTCAATGGTCGGAAGCAAGTCAAGTCCAAAGTTGATGAAGTCCCACTCAATGCCCTCCCGTTTGTACTCCTCTTGCTCCAGAATGAACATGTGGTGGTTAAAGAACTGCTGAAGCTTCTCGTTTGTCAAGTTAATGCACAACTGCTCAAAGGAGTTGAACTGGAAAAACGAGCGATACAAAATGCAAGAAATGAGCATCTGAATAATTATGAAGTTCTCGATTATGACATTAAATTGATACTTCTGAAATTATTTCACTAGTTAGTGAGACAAAAATAAAGACTTTCACTAAGTTTTCTTACCTTGAAGATCTCAAATCCAGCAATGTCAAGCACACCGATGAAGAAGGCACGTCTTTCCTAGGAGCAACACAATAGAATTACAGTAAATTAATGGGTGAATCTCACACAAAGGCAGTTTGATCACATTGTATAGTTGTGATAAAAATTTTTCTCATTTCTAAGAAGCACCAGCATTTGGAAACTACATGTGTAGTCTCTTTAATCAGTTAAGCCAGGTATGTTCTTACTTTGGTTTCAAGTGTTTTGTTGATTCTTTCAACGAGCCACAGAAACATCCTCTCATAGATGCATTTGCTGAGAGCACCAATTGAGTACTGGACCTAAAATTGCATGACCAAAAAAACAAATGTATTCAGGATAAGTTAATTTGGACAATACATAGAGGCTACATACCACTGAGAGAAAAAGTTAAGGGCTGTTTTACCTGTTGAAGGTTTCGTCCTTGGTTTACAAATTCTCTGCCGACTTTGATTCTTGGTTTTACAAGGGACTTTCCAAAGTCAGTTTGAGAAATTGCCAACAAGAAAGACACTTTGTCCAGGTCTTGATGCAGATAAAAAAAATTCAAGTGCAATGAGTATAATTTTTAAATTCATCTTCCATTAATAGTAAAACTGGAGCAGAAAGTGTACAAATTGTGATTGTTTAAGGGGCCTATGTGATGTACCCCTGAGGAGAATTATACATAGTGACCAATGAAGTATGATGCCTGGTTGTTTTACTCCTGTTTTGCTGGGATTTTTTTTCATTTTGATTGACAAAAGAATTATACTGATGAGTATAAAATCTCCCACTACCCAAATGAAATTATAAACCAAAAATATACATAGAAATACTTATTACATGCAACCACCCAAACTGAAAAACTCAGAAATTTGACAAAAAAAGAATACCTTTTGGATCAGCCACTTCTGCTTGTTCTTCTCTGGGTCGTTGTTTAAACTTGGCATTTCCCCAATGCATGCATGCAGCACAAATTTTGTACATTGCAAACTTCTCTTCCGGGGCAAAACCCAATGTGTTGGCAGCTTCCTGAAAAAGAGAACAACAGTTATGCATAAGACTCAAGTATGATGTTACATAACAAATACATGGCAAAGGCTGGAAAATCTGCCTCATCATGTTTCAAACCCCTTCTGAATTTATGTTACCAAGTTTTTCGTGCAGCACAGCAACAAAGGTGAATTTAGCTCCTCTGCTTGAATCATTATCCTAACAGCTAAACACTAACCTCAGTGATTTTAAATTCTTCAACATCATTGATTCCATCAGCTTTCTCCGAGCCCTTCTTGAGAAACTCGTAGTCTACTGATTTGTTTGACTCAATGAGTAATTTTTCTAGAAGGAGAAAAATAACTGTAAGGCTCATTCTTTGAAATTGATAGAGAAAGATCCAAGTGGCAACAACCAACACACACAAAAAACAATCTGTTAATTTAACACAAACCATGCGTTTCTTTCGAAGCACCATACAACAGCTGGTAAAAGATATGATAGTTTCTTTCACCCTCCAACTGGTGCACCACACGGGACTTCTCAAGCAAATCTGATAAATTGAAAATAACAAAAAATTAGTCAGTGGGTGTTTGGGTATTTCTTACTTTTCTAAAAAAAAAAAGGAAAATTACATCAAGTGTTATGAAAACAATATTCCTCAGGAAGGTAGATGTGCATGTAACAACTCACAGGATTCAATATCAGCTCCAGCAAGCTTTCCTTGGGGACCAAAGTGGCAACGGATAAATTTTCCCTGATAAATGTAAAGACAAACTCGTAAAAAATAGCTTCACTAGAGACATCTGTTAAGCAGCAATGTAAAGACTGCATTTAACATTAGAGTTAGAAAAAGTCTCTGGCCATTACAGACCTTTTATGTCCTGAGCTCAAATATGGAGTCCTTAGGTAACATATTCTCCAACTTTAATATTTTCCATACATTTAAGCATCAGAGTTAGACAGCTGAATTCTGATGTCCTGAACTAGTACCTTTTATTCAAATATGGAGCTCTTATGTAACACATTCTCTTGTTACTGTACACTACTCTCCTACTTCAATATTTTTAAACAGAAACACCAGTGAAGACATTAGAGGCTACCTATGGTGTTAGTGGTGGTTGTGTCTGAAAAGGGGCCATAAGGCAAAACTAAAACAAAGCCTGCATTCTGGCTAAAAGGACTGCAGTGAGATGATGGGTATTGAAACCTCTGAAAAACCAAGGAGGCATTAATCTGTTTCAAATCCAATTAAAAACAGGTATTAATAACTAAATTTCCTGATCAAACAAGGTAGACTAGACATAGACTGTCTCACATGACTAAAATAGCATTGACAATACTTTCAAATGAATGTGCAAAAGATTAGTGAAACTCACAAATCTGGAGGAGTTGTTGTTCCTGATGGTTTTGGCATTACCATATGCCTCAAGGATTGGGTTGGCTTGAACAACTTGATCTTCGAGAGTTCCTCCCTTAAAACAAAGAAAAACAAAACCAATATATTAAAAGAAGGTTGAAATGTTTGAGAGTCATAAAAGGCTTTGGAACTAATAGCCTGGCATATATATCCACAAGAAGCAACAAGGATAAGTGTATGGATAAGAATGTTGAGCCCTGAGTAGGTGATTGTCTTGTACTCACCTCATGTTTTTGGTCTCCAGGCTTTGTCTGTCCAGAAACATGAGCCAAATACTGAATAACCTTCTTGGTGTTCTCAGTTTTACCAGCACCAGACTCTCCTCTGTCGATTTATGAAAATAAATCTATGATGAGAGCTTTCAAGCCCCAAGGTTCATCTTATTTAAGACTCATATCAGCTTCATATCAGACATTGCTCAGACATCATTCACATCAGACATTGCAACTGGCAGCCATTACAGGGCTATGCCCAACAATTTATCAGATTTTCCTCACAGTTTCCCACTATTTACAAACATTTATACTCCAAGGTGGAGAGAGGTACTGTGAAATGAAGTTTGCCCCAGAACACAGCACAATGACCTTCTAATCTAGAGTCCTGTATGATAACCACTAACCCACCATAATTGACTTATTTAATCCATAGGATAAAAAGGTTCTTTTTTATCTCTATTATACACATTTAATTCCATGAGAGTAAAAATTTTGTGGACTTTCAATTTTTATCAACCTTACAAAAGAAAAAAAACTTCTGTACAAGTGAACATGATAATTTAAGTATTACAATATCAGAAGCATCATTGACAGAAAGCTATATATATATACATGTCAGGTGTCAAAATACTTACGTGATCAACATAGACTGGTTCTCGCGATCTTGCAACATGTCATGATAGGCATTGTCACAAATGGAGAAGATATGGGGTGGCATCTCCGGTCGGCGTTTACCTCTGTATGCAAAGACAATCTTCTCTGTGTAGATAGGAAGTCTTCTGTATGGATTGATGGCAACACAGAAAAGGCCAGAGTATGTCTGCCAAAAATTTGAAGAAACAAATTAATTCAGCTGATTTCTGGTCACCATTGATTCTGAATTTATGTAAATGTGTAGCTTTGATGATGTGTTCAAATTTGAGTGTCAAGATAATCTGATTTGTCCAATAATTTCCCCACACCTCTGACCACCTAGTCAAACTCTCCAGGAGTATAACAAGTAATTATTAAAGATTTGTGTTGCATTTCTATTTAGAAATCCATAGAAACTAAACAGTTCCTTTGGTTTCTAAGAAATCAAGCAAAAAACAATCTGAAATCCTTTAACCAATTCATGAGGGCACATGCATGTACATCTGTTATTGTTATATCAACATAAAAGCAAAAATAGTTTTAAAAAAACAACAATTGTTCAAAGAAACGGTTGCAATGAGTTTATTGTTCATCTTTAACCTTTGACCAAAGGGGTTAGAACATTTCTGCAGCCTTATGAAATTTTTGAAAAAAAAAACAAAAAAACCTGTAAACATTATCACATATGCAGGTTAATTAATTTCAATAACTTAAGAATTTTTAAATAATCATTTTTCTGTGAGTTACAACAGGGTGTTAACCTGTGTATTGTTCATAATGATTTTGCCTTTAAAAATTAATTATGTGATCAATAGCTGCATTTAATTGTACATTAAAATGCTTAGCTGATAAAAACTTTGAGAATTTAAGAAGTGATTTTCAGGGACACAAAAGTTATTTAACAATAGTTTTTTATTCCAAAACTTTTACAGGTAAATGGTTGAGCAATAAAACTTCATAGCAGGTGGTTTTATCAAGTGTGTGATCTTCAAAATACAGGCAAAAAATATTTGTTAAGCCTATGCAAAGGTCAGACATCAAATTTGAACATTCTGTAACCCTCTCCTTTGAAGAGACCATCAACAGCTTTTACAGAGATCAACATTGCATTGTCATCTGCAAATCCTTTCAGGTCAATTACTTGACATTTGTTTGTTGACACTCCTAAGAAGATTCATGTCTTCTATGGTTTAGCTCAAGTCTGTTGAAAGTTTACCAATGGATATGGTCTATGAAGACAGAGAGATACCGAAAAGAATTTTGTGATACTCTTATAACCTAAAAGGTGACAAAAATTAAGATGTAAAACAGTTTCATTGAGGAGATGGGTTTAACAGCTAGTTTAGTTTCCAACATCTGAAAGTTTAAAAGTCCACACCTTGTACAGTGGAATTCCACATCAAGCCATATATGGTGAAAGTATTCACACCCAAACCAAAAGAAAAAAGTCGGGGGTGTGCAGGTCAATTTCTTGATTACAATACTGTACTGATCTTGATTTCTATTGCTCACTCAAGTACATTTATGTTTCCCAATTCTGGCACCAGAAGGGAAGAAAAACAAACAGAATCGCCACAAAGAACCCTTATCAGACTTGCAAAATGATATCCACTACATGAGAGACAAATTTCATGGCAGATTATGACTTTAAAGCACTTTTGTTTAGAAGTCTGGGCGTTAATAACTTATTAACCACAGGAAGCCGAGCAAGAACCAGTGAACGATCAGCCTTTCATTTACAAATCACAAATCACACTGCGTGTTCGTAATACTAGAATACAGGATACAATCCCCCTTGCTGTTTTCCGTCGTTTAAAAGCTTTTACGCTGATCACGAACACTCAACGGTAAATTAATTTTCACTGTGTATTAATCAAGACATCATTGCACCTATTCACTAACTAATAGCAAATAATAGAGGACATCTTCGATGACTTCTCAACTTGCCCTCTGTGTCAGCGAAATTTCACCGTAACAGCAGAAACACGCACGCACGCCTAATATCGGGAGAAACCAAGCTTTTTGTTCTATCTGTGTCGTGTCCGGCTCAATATGACGTTATTATTGTTCCAAACAAAGTTCTTTGCGACACGATTCGTTTGTTATTAAGCTCAAAAATCAACTGGGGAACATAAATCCAAGCGCAGCGGATGTTTTTCAAGTAACTTACAACTGTTGTCGATTTCAGGGTGGCGTGTATTCCTTAAGTTGGACGCTAACCGAAAACAGGTTTATATCGCTTAGACTAACATGCTATAAATATTTTCTTCGACCCTGGATCTTCTGTGCAAATTATCTGTCGGTTTAAGTAGCGATTTCACACAAACTCGCACATCTGTTGACATAGCGATTGTACACAATCCGTCTTTCACACCAAGAAGAATTCGTAACATCAAAGATACAAGATAAAATATCTCGGACAGTATTCCTACAATCCCAGAGAAAACCCCTGTTACAAATGACAAAGGAATGTGCAAAAATAAATATTCATGATTCTCAGATTTCACGAAAACTTCACACGGATGTTCGTAGCTACATGACAATCAGAAAAGATAATCCTGAGGTAAGCGTACGCAACGAAAATAATCTTCTCAAGATATCTCCTAAAACTAATTTTCATGTTTTGATGTGGGGTAAAATTGAGTTAAGTACTTACGTAAATGAGGCCTGCAAAGTATCGTTGTTTGAGGTTGTGAAGAACGCTTGCTTCATTCAAGTAAGTCAAGTTGGCCATATCCTCTGCCTTTTCAAATTTCGGCGGGTTCATCTGCTCAGTGTCATTCTTATTGACTTCACGTTCCTAGAGAAAAAAAGCAAGACGTTAGCACTCTTTAAGCGAAAGGAGCAGACATCACGAATATTACAGTAAGCCTTGTATGTATGCATATAATAAGATCAACACGCGCAGATTGCCGTTCTGTTCTTGTGATCGGCAGAAAAAGCACACAGATCAAGTTCAAACGTACCTGCCCATCGTTTGTTTCAACAACAAAGATATCTCCCTTCGAGCTTTTCACTTCGGCAGCCTTGAAACACTCTTTAGGATCCGCAATCCAGACCCATTTCTTGCTCTCAAAGGCTTTGCTCTCTTCTAGCCGGGCGAGTTTGTCAGAAACTCGCAAAAATGCCACAGGATCTTCTAATTCCATGTTGGCTGTTCGATCCGTAAAGATTTACAAAGCTCGGCGGATACAATATTCACAAGCCCGGTAGCTAGACTATTCCTCAGCCAGAGTCGTGCGCCCGCTACAATACTGAGGCGCTCACTCAAAGCCGGACTAATCGTTGAGTCACTGGATTATAAATTGTTCTCCGACTGGCCAACTCCCAGCAATGAATGACGCGCAGGTATCCTGTTTGGAGACGTCAAAGCGCTCTGATTGGTGTAGGACTCACTTAGTCTATTGTCCCTGGAGAGAAAAATGAACTTTATAGCTTTGTTTTGTCACGGTTTAATGACCTTTCTTTACGCTCTTAGCGTTGAATTCCAAACATCATTTTAAGCGTTTTAAAAATACCACACCTAATTACATGCTCCACCAATCAGAGCAACGCTTCAGTAAATTTTTCCTCTCTGTAAGACCCCGGACGCCGTTGGACGGGTCAGGAAGTTGTACTATGCTCGGAATGTGGTGTTTATCCTCGACATTGCTGTCACGTTACCAATCTTTCCCGCTTGAAATCTTCCCAAAGTCTTTCCATTTGCGAGAAAGCTATTTTCCCGGTAAACAATACATCGCACCGCAATTACTAACATTCACACGCTAGCATGCTAGCAGACACAGTAGTGAAATCTTTTATCAATGAACAGACGACCGGCAGAAAATCAAACATCGCGTTACTGATGAACGTTCATGTGTTCCACTGTACATCAAATCTAGGTCAAAAACATTGTTAACTTTTATTTTCTACTGAACTCTGTTCATCAACGATGTCATGTTTCCGAAGAGAACACGTTTCAAAGGTGTCTGGGTAGATTTGCCATTGAACAGAAGTACATCCCTATCAAAGATTGAGCCTCGGTAATCAAGTTAGGTTAGACATTTCGCGCATGTTTTACACACATGCCCTGGGGAGCCTTCTCATACTTTGACCAAATGCAGTAATATAAAGCTGTTAACGATTCTGTAGAAATTACTCTCCCATTACCAACTAATTGCCAAAGCAGTAGCTTTTTTTTTGCACTGCAAAAATTTTTGTCTCTTGACAAAAGGCTTCTATGTAGACTTTTCTTCGCAAAATCGAGCACAGTTTTTTTAAGACAGGACTCTACAGAGCAGGGGTGGGTGGGAAGAGCTCCCTCTCTATTCGGTTGGGTGAATTTGTTTTGGTTTAATTATTTCATCACAAAGATGGCTATCGCAGCAAAAGACAACGAGAGAAAGAAGATCTTCAACTCTTGTTTGAACATCTATGATCAGAAATGTTATTTAGTTGAAAGTTCTGCAAGTTTAACGCAATTTTCTTCGTCGAATATTTGAGATAAGGCCGGCGAGTCCAAAAGCCCATGTCCTAAGTTCCATTCCGGCTTGTCGTTAGCCGGTCGAGCGTGCAAGTCTTAAATCACTTTAAAATAACAAGCGGCTTAAAGACTTTTATAACTGTAAGATAACAAGTCGTTCTTCTTTCAAAACGCTAATGCTGAGTGGTTTGGTGAAAGAGTAATGTTTTTACTGAGGACAGGCACAAAAGACATGCAGATCTAAAGAACACAAAGTGAGCTTATTTTCAACGCTCGCGATAGCAAGAATAATAAGCAGATCAGATCAGACTGATATTATCTGGAACTCATTACCATAAATGTTGCAATCCACCGGGATTTAAAACCTTAGATAACGATTTCGTTCTGTTTCACAACTTAATTTGTTATACAAAATATTTTCCTTGTCAAAACTATGTTTCAGAAGCGTTATGCCCGTGATCTCAGTAAACCTTCTCGTGACGAAGGAGGAGTGATGTTTTAAACAACAATCACAGACATTCTTTTATCTGCTCTCTTCGACAGAGGAAATTTGGCCAAAACTGGCTATCCAATTAAAAGGCTTACAACAATCTAATAATATTTTGTTCTTCGAAGAGGGCCGGCACCGTAGGAGGGATGGGGTGGGGAGCTTCTGTTAAACAACGTTGCTTCAATACAGTTCCCTTAAAGAATAGATTCTCAAAATGTCAAGGGTCAGCAATAATTAGTCGTAGGCATCTGGTCACACGTTCTTATATATTCTTCATGAGACTGTTCCAGGCGAGAATGGCGGGAAGATGGATGGCTGGATGCTTTTCATACAGTAGTTCGTGGATAGAAAACCGATGAATCCTCCTCAGGTTGACTTTTCCACTCCTCCCCTACTTCTAATCAATTTGTTGGATACAGTAGTTCGCCTTAAAACCCTTTTGGCGCAGCCAGACGTTGATTATCACTGACTCTATCAAAAAGGCACAGAAATATCTTTAGATCTCTGTAATAATCAATTTTCAAATTTGTAAGTCAAGGAGACTCTTTTCATTCTTCTTATCAGACCATACCTTTGTGGAACATCTGGTTTCTGTATAAAGAAAACAATTTGCCAGTTCTTCGCTTCATTATCATCTCGGTGTTCCACCTTAATTTATTCAATTAACTTGAAACTTGCGAGTGAAGAAACATTACGTAAGGATAAATTTTAATAATTGATAAATCTTACCTTGTTGATCCATCGTTTTTCTACTTCCATTCAAACTATTTTAACGATTTGTAAGAACCACTTACCAATGTGTAATGAACAGTCCTAAACTTAAGAAAAATAAATTTTCCATGCACGCGAAAAAAAAAGCAAGCAGTCTTCAAATCCTGTCGGAAAACGGAAATGATTTGCTTCATTTCAATTGATGGTATGGAATTTGAAGCCTCTGCGGGATGATTCAGCGAATTTGGTTCAAGTTTTGAACGTTTCCTTTTCCTCTTTTTTGTGAGAGCAATGTGTAATTGTGAAATGTTAACGCATGAAATTTCCTATTAAAACGTTCGTACGTGATGTATCAAAATAGACCATAGTAAACAACTCCTAGGGCATTTCATAAGAATAGCAGCCAGATACAGACATGTGGTATGTCAGAGGGTCAAAGGTTTTTTTTTTCTTTGTTATTAAGAGAGAGAGGAAAAGAAATGCGCTGCTGTAATTAATTTTCCAAAATCATACGTGAGTTTATCATGTTTTTTTTAATAAACTTCATGTCGTGTAATTAATCGGTTGACGATTTATAGACAGTCAAAATATTTAAGAAAATTTCCTGTCAAACTCTTTTAGCCAGACTTTCACGCTGACAGCTTGAAATTTTTTTTTACGTTTTTATGATTCACCTTCCAAAATGTACCCAAACAGGCCACGTGATGAAAGTGAAAATTAATGCATATGTAGGAGATTTGATGAGTGGTGAATTTACTCTGTGTTCTGAATCAGTTTTTCTGGTCAAGAAAACTCCTTCAGTAATAATCTTTTTTCTCATCTTCCGTTGAGTTATGTTCCCCCTGAGGGCTTCCTCAACAACTTCCTCAGAGGCAATCCGAGTAAACTGTGTGCATGATCAACTACAACCGGTCAATAGGTCATACTGCTGGCTGATATTAAAACGCAATAGAAATGTACGCAAACTTTTGAAAGACTAAAAGTTGCAAATTTCCATAACCATTCCCGTCAATTTCCCACTATCTGTACTAGCACCGACTTGGATAAATATATGTTATTTGCCGGCTGGGAGGTCCGTATGGTGAAAAACTGTGACCGAGGTCTTGAAAATTTTCAAGACCGAGGTCACAGTTTTTCACCATACGGACCGACCCAGCCGTAAATAACATATTTATTGTTTTTAAACTTGACGAAATTCTTTCCGAAAGAACCCGAATGACTTATGGCAGTAAATACGGCAAGATCTTCCATAAACTGAACAATTTTTGAGTGAGTAAATGGTAGTTAAAATAGAGGTGATGCAAATTTAAGAGAGATGCCTCAGCGAAACATTTTCATTTCCGTAACGATAAAGGTGATTTAAAAGGCTTCCAAACAAACTTTGAAACATTATTTTTACAAGTATCTGTCACAATCTGACACCTGTCAATTAGAGAGCGCGCAAGAAAAAAAAAGCGTAGGAACATTTGAAAACCAACAGAACTAGTTTGGCAAGGACTGTCACGACAATGTTTTCTTAAAAATCAGTTCATGATCTAACGGAAAGTATTATTTACTCTCATCGACCATTCATTCATGTGCGAAGATTTACCTCTGTTCATTAAGTAAACGGCGAGGAAAGTAATTGTGAGTAAATTCATTTTTTTATTTTGAAGTTGTGGGAGTTTGCTCGTTTGTTTGCTGTAATGGCGTGTTTAACTCTGATCTTTCCTTCACAAAAACTAAATTCGAACGGCACTCCAACGAGACACAAGGGAATTTAATGCAGCCTTTTCTCAATTCCTTCAATTTCTGTTGTGCAATTTAAGGTACAAATGTCCAAATTGAACAGAATTGGAAAGACTCACCAGGAGCGTATATTTGTTGTAGAACTTAAATTAAAACTTCGCTCGCTTTTTTTTACTATGAACAAATTGCTCGAGAAAATTCAGATATTAAATGAATGAAAGTTCCATCGTTCAGTTTAACTGTAACCAAATACCTCACGTTTCAACTTTCTGGGTACTTTTTGTGAACGATTAAAATTAATTGCAGACGGTTTTTAGGCCGCTTGTCAACCAACGTAATGACACTATTGTTTATACAAATTCATTCTGAAACCAATATTTTTCTGTCAACCAAAGTGATTTGATAGAGAGAAAAGGGAGGATTCATAAGTTATTTATCGGCTTGAGGTAGTGACCGACGTGTTTGCTTAAAAATACTGCCCAGCCGGAAAACGAGGTATATTTATGAAAAATGACAACGAAAGTTGGGATGTACTCGGCGACTCACGAAAGCGTTACCGTGGCCCGTGGGCAGAGATAGGAAAATACTGACCGGGTAAAGAACCAATCAGATTGCAAGATTCGTTACCGTGCCCTCTAAAAAAACAATAAATGCGGGAAAATGCAGTGGTTTATGTATTCTTCGCTTACACCGTTAAAATAACTTCTCCGGTATAGTCCCTATTTTATGGAAAAGTGTCCTATGGCTTTTAGAAAGAAGCAAAACTTTAAAAGAGAGCCTCGTCGCGCGACGCAAAAGCGAAACTTTAACAGAGAAATATGAATCGTCGATATTGCTTCATCAAGCTATAAAGTTTCTTCAGGGTTAGATTTTAATATCGGCCGAACGTGCACATAGACCTAGGATTTGCCGGTTTTTGTTTTTTTTCGGAAAGAGATTTTGTCGAATTGCGCACGGCTGCTGCTCATGACTGCTAACGATTCTATGTGATGACTTTCGTTGAAAACTTCGAATGTACTTTGGATTGTTGGTAGTAGAAGTATAATCTCGAATATCTTATCTTTATTAACCTCGAAGTAAAGGAAAAGGGAAACAGAACGAACCCCACTATTAAAATTCGCTACCCTGACACAACTGATGAGAAAACAAGCTTCAATGAATGAATGCTCACTAAGGCACCCGGCGAGAAATGTTTTAAACTTGAATATTTTTAAGCAAAACCAGAGTGCCAAGTGTTTTCATAGTATATTTTATTTTCTAACTCCCTTACTTTGCCCTAATAAGGCCTCTCACACTTAAATGCAATGCGTTATCAAAGCAATAAGTCAGTTTCTCTTCACCTCACCGTGAGCAATGAGTGTGACGCTTAAACCTAGCTTGTAACATGCGTAAGGCTCCTGAGGTAACTCTTAGGTTGGGTGTTTGCCACGTATTCTCGTTATTCACGAAAGAGTTTACCTTGGTACACAACTGCATAGCTTTTCGGCTGATTGAAGCGTGTACAGTACTCGCTCAGTGATCTTAACAACGTAGTTGATGATTATCCAAGTTCTTCGGCAGAGCAAACCTGCGCGCTCCTATTCTGCTACATAAACTATTACTTTCTTATGTTGTATCAATTCATTCATAATTCTTAAGATTTTGTGATTTCGTTTATTCTAATGACGCCCTACTCGTGCAGATTCCAGAATATATAATGTATAAACAATATAAAATAGCTAAACCGTTTTTAGGACGTTTTCTGTGTGCGTTGACTTTAATAAAAGCATACAGGAGCTTTTTCGCTTTATTTTAGTTCATTCTCCTTATTTCGATATCTTTCTATCCTAAGAAAAATTAATATTTCACGGTTTTCTTCACCTTGAAGGCATTTTCTTCCCGTTTTTTTTTTACTATATTTTTTCCGACAGTTTTACTGTACAATACTTAGAGTATCTTCAAGACACGAATATTAAATATTTACAAAATATTAATCCGGATACTAACAAATTTTATGGGGGTGATTTTCTATTGTATCAGTTTTGCCCCTCCAACTTCTCAATCAACCAGATGCAAAACTGACAAAAATGTATCTTGCTCACTCGCGTTTTCTCGCTATTCAAGCTTTTTGCTTCTTTTACTTCGAGATCTCATTGGATCCTTGTAATTTTTTACCCTTCTCCTGATTGGCGTTTAGATAACCCTGGTTTTGGATTCGCGACACTCAATTGAAATGTATACTCTGTGATCCTACTTTACTGCAAACACCTATGCTCAAAGTATGGTTACTTGAAAACTGGGACTGGTAAATCGAGTGTGCAGGAACTCAAAATATCGAAAAGGGGTGAATTTTCTAAGCTCCTCTACTGAGAACAACAATAGTAGAGATTAATATGACCACTACAAAAATCCAGAAAAATAATCGATCTAAGACCATAGCAAGATGCCTCCATTCTTCCTGATTCTTCTCGATTTGCCGACGATGCTTCAAACTGTCTACAAGCACCATGACACCTTGTGCAGTTTTGGCACTGTTGCAGCCACCGTCGTTGTTGTGATTTTTCTCTTGGTGAGTGTCCATCTTTGGATATGTGCTTGTGACGGAGTTCGTTGAAGAGGTCATGCAAAACTCTTCGGGAGAGTTTAAAGTGGATTTTGTTGTAGTTCGTGAGCGCGTGTCATGTAGCAGCTTTGTTTTAACGTGGTTGTTGGTACTGCCAAACCTTTTGTCCAAGTCCTTTTTCATCAAAGAGATTCTCTTAAAATCCACCTCCGCCGATAAGTCATAATTGTCCTCTGTAACAGGCTTCTTCACGCCCAAAAACTTTCCGAGCTTGTCGAGGATATATACATTGACCCACCTGGGAACAGGCACCACGGCAGTCCCAGAGTTCCGATGGTGAATGTGCAAGATGTAACATGTGGCGATAAGAGAACTGGCGACCTCTATCATGACTGTGATGTAGAAAATACCCATTACCGGTACGCTCTCAGAATTCCTTGGCAAATTTTCTGCCCCAAGTTGCAGAAACACTGCCATAGCTAACAGGACGGTAATACTTAGAGTTATTCGCTCTCCAGATTCGGGAGGTAGGAAAAAGCCCAGCAGCACCATGGACACGATTATCATGCATGGAACTATCAGATTGAAAATGTAAAATAAAGGCTTCCGTTTGAACACGAACTCGATGGTAACATCGGAAAAAGGGTAATCACAACAAGCATATGACTGCACGTTACGTTTCTTGGAAGCTCCAAGCAGATCCCACTCCGCGCTTTTTACATATTGCGTGGAATGGAGAGGAGACATGTCAGCATGAATATCAAGGTCAACCACCTCAAACGTCCAGGAGCCAAATTTCATCGTGCAAGTCTGTTGGTCGAACGGAAAGTACGTGACATCAATCGGACACGTGCTTCGAAACGAGGCTGGGCTGTACCAGGCACTGGTCCCATCGTGGTCAATGATAACACGAGTCTTGTACTTTTCAAGTCCACCGCTGAACTCACTGTCTGCACTGTAGAGAGAAAATATTGCAATTTCTAAGTTAAATCCTATCTGTATCATAGGTATTGTCCAAGAACTCATCCCTATTTGTTTTCACACGCGGACCTCCTATTTCAAAGTGCAAAAAAGTAAAGTAACCTCTTGAACTTTGGATACCAAAGCAGTTTTTGGGTAACCTATAGATATGCAAATTACACACAGAGAGGTAAATTGGCCAAAATGTACAAATCAATTCACGAAAGAAGCGAGATATAACCCAAACATTCATCCGACATATAATTTCAGATAACTGAAGAAATACTCTGGTATAATTTTATAGTAACTGACCTGTTATATAGAACGATGTCCGGAATCCAAAGCAGACTCGGATCAATACGAACTCGTTTGATACCACCGTATTTGTTCGGATCCCATGTCAAGAGAAGATTTCTCCATTTCTAGACAAGAAAGGTGCAGTACATTAGACTGACTATAAGAGGTAGGTAATGATGATGATGATGAAGTTTATATACACAATTATTACAAGCTGTGACAAGCTTAGCTTATGCATACCTGTCGCACCCACACGTTTGTAGTAATAATCTGATTTTTATCATCCTAAACAAAGAAAAAAAAAAGAAGTTTAATGCAATGTTCGATGTCATTCGTCTGAAAACAGTACCTCACTTCCTCAGCGGGAATATTTGTAGGGAAATATTAACGTTTCTTGAAGAAATACTCTGGCAAAGCCTAGTGAACTAAAACCCAGCTAAACGTTGAAAAAGCAAAATGAAACTAACTTTATTGACATTGACAGAATTTGTTTGGTTTCACTTACTACATTGACGAGTTGGACCAATTCCAAACCAAACGTGACCATGTACAGACTCTTGTTCTGTTCTGGTATGGGGTGGGCATCTTTGTTGTACCCCTTTAGCAGGTCATTAATTAAATCCTGTTCTGCAGCAGCATTTGAGCCTGTCAAAGTTTTGAAACAATGAGAAATGTTATCCGCATACTAATGTTACAAATCATATAACTACGACGAACAAACGACGAACCCGATGTATTTCTTCTTTAGCAAATTGGCTCACACGTTGGTCACAGCAAAAATTATTTGTGCCTTCTACATAGCTTAATCTGGTTTGCGTTTCTTCAGTATAATCTTTTACACTCATCTAACCTCCGGAAAATTCTTTTTAGGTCCAAGAAAGAGTAATTCTGCGGGGAAAATTATGTAAGCGTAAATTTCCATTTGCAGTCCTTGCATATAACGTTGTGTCAGATATCATGAAGTGTCTTGTCGTGGTTCACGACATTAGTTACCCCAAGAGATGGCTGAAGTGTCTCTTTTTTATTCAAATGAAAGGAACATTTTTCTTTTCATTCTTTTTTAGCTTTAAGATTGAGAGAGAGATCTTTCCTTTGTTAAAAGAGTAGTTTGATTGTTCTCTCTTGTGAGTTAACATATTCATTCTTATAAGATCTGTGGCTTCGACGATTTCTTTCAACTTGAATGGTCAGAGCGACAGGAAGGGTTTCGCCGGTTGAATATGAAGTTTCTAGCATACCATTGAAACAATTTTTATTGCAATAATTTATGGATCTCTTGACAACCCTTATTCATAAATCATTGGAAGTGACAGCAACTAAGTGAAACAATTCAAACGATAGATTCCAACTGTGTAACAATCATTAACAACAGCGCTCTTGCAACAAAGCTCTCTACATGGGGCTTATAGGTTATTAAGCCTTCCCTGATATCAACCACCTTTTCCAGCTTACTGAAAATTTCTATCCTAGTTTAAAGTTATCAAGCTGTTTTCTTTTGTTATGACTTGTATTTGCTTTTTTTCTAATTCTGACGAACGTTTACTTATGAAATCGCGACTTTTATGCTCTACTGGCCGAGGTGACATCCCTTAAGGCTGATTATGAGCGATTAAATCCCCTGAAAACATCTTTAAATTTTATTACATCAACCAAAACGCCAGGCATTTAGTCTAACAAAGACATTTAAAGTAGTTGATAGTGGCATCGGTGAAAGCATCTCGCGGATATCGGGATATTTCAAGGTTGAAGGTTTGAAATCCTCATGCAGACTATTGGCCTTATTTGTTTACTTTTTGAATAATAGGTTAAAGCATAGTTTAGAATTATTGAAATTTGTTATTCAATTCCGCATCATGATATGTAAAGGAAAATTTAGGTAAACAAACGCCACAAACAAACTGGGTCCACGGAGTATTCAGAAACCGAAGGACAGGCTTCAGTTATTCAGTTCAAGTATTGGTGTGTAGGAGCCGGTCTGAAAAACGCGCTTTTCGCGTTGAAGTTTGAGGATCTAATTCAAAATTTCGTTTTCGACAATTAATACACATTTTCATTGAAGAGTGTCTCCGAATGTTTTTATCATGATATTAGGGGGCTGGAGGGTCTAGACCTGTTGAATGTAAGAATAATGTAAAGTTCTCTGGTTCCTTATTAAATCGTGTAATTGGTTGTACTTAATACTGTACTAGAACTCATCGACGAGCGCACAAACCCTTCTCGTGCTAATCAGATCAATCGGTCGTCAACCATTGTTATCCAGCTGGATCAAAAGATTAGTGACACCAGGTTTTAGTCTGCATGGGCGGCTTTATGAGGAATACCTCTGTGCCAATTCAGTTCACAAATAAAGGTGATGAGTTGTATTGTATTTACGTAATCCTTGGGTGAATAAATTGTCACTGGTCTCCTTCAAGTTCGAGACGCTCATCAGTGCATCCATTACCTCTTGTACAGGTCGGTCGGGTAATAATTCAATCACCTGACACCCTTCGGGCCGGAGACAGGAGAATCTACTTGCTCACTTAAACAGATTGAGTGGCAACTCCGCGTATTCAACGGTATTCAACGACGAACAAACTGTCGTTATATTTACAAAGAACTTGAGCTACTGAGTGAATCTTTTTGGTTAATTGTGTTTGTCTTTTGGGATGTAATAAATTGCAAAGCTACTACACTAACTGACCAACGTTGTTAACAATAGGTAATATCACACATTGGGGAAAATACCTGCTTTCTTTCTTGTGATAAAGATGAAATATCAATGTGTTTAACTCAAAGCATGTGCGCCCCCATGTCAAAATAACAGGATGTTTATGTGAATAACAAAGCTATTACGTATACCAACCTTCTGTGCGACATTTAGTTACTATCCAAATCATCACGATGCACTTTGCCAAAAACGCCATATGACTGGATACCAAAAGCGGGCGATTCCACTATAAAATGGACAGAGATGCTTTTAAGTACAACTTGTCGGTGAAAGACGTTAAACGATGATACGAGATCTCCTAGATAATAGTGGTTGATAACAACTACTTACCTCTTGCTGCGTAGGATTTTTGTGTAGGGACACCGAGAATTATTGAATATTCAACAGCGTTTAATTGCAAAGACGGTCAAAAAAGGCTATGAGAGAAAAAAAAAAGAACAATTGGACAAAAAGAACAATATCTACTGATAAGAGCATGCACGATGGGTGACCTATTACCCTCTTCTAATTATATTACTCTTCTCTCTATTTGGTTAAGTGAATTGTCCCCTTAGGCATGTGGCCCATATTTAAACGTAATAAAGTCATAGAAATAGTTTGATGATAAAAATGGCCCAAGAAAGTAAATAAATATTGAAAAAGGGGAAAAGGGCCTGGTGCACGGGTAACCCTCCTCCTCTTTTAAAGTGTGGCCATTTAAAAAAGGAAAGCATTTTTAAAAAAATTAGTTGTTTACGATTTAGAATTCCATTTGGTATTGAGTTGGTTTGTTGCCCATGTAGTCGAGCCGGCTAAATTAATATACTCTTGATTATGTGTTGAAAACAGTAATTCATACAAATTACAAATCAGTTAACACGGTAACCTAATTAAAACCTAATTTATCGCAGATGTGAAATGTAAACTTTGACGCATTGTGCAGTACATGTAAGAGCTTTTGACGCTCCACAGGATACTGTTCACTTTTTTTGGATTATAAGTCAGGGGAACTTGGCGCAGTTCTTTAAGGAACTACGAAACCAGCGGAGTAACACTGACAACTCTGAGCAAACTTCAAATATTCCTATTTCCAATATGGTAATAATGTACAGGGTTGTTTAAATATATTGATGGCTGTCGTTGTTTACTTGTTGAACTACTCTATGGTTAATAAAATTCATAATGAACGAATCTTAAAATTGCCATTCTGTAACACGTCTTACACGAATCACTTACACAGAACCATCAAATAACAATAAATGAGGAACGAATTCTTTCTGAGGTTTTTTTTACCTTTTTTTTCCGATATTTTTTTTGTAACGTTATTTTTTTTCAAGTCTTACTCAGGTTATTGGCTCAGTTGAATTTAGGCACCAGTCATTCTTTCGCAGGAGGGGTCGGGGGGGGAGGGGCGCTCAGAGGTTTAAAATTTGTCTGATCTTCCCCTAAGGCTATGTACTTTTGAGATGGTTCTCCCTCATGGGTACGGTCCGTTTGCCATGGTACTCCCCTTATACTCTGTTAGCGACGACTGTCTGATCCCTCTTCCGTTTCTCCTTAGTGACCCCCCCCCCCTTAAAAAAAAAAGGGAAGTAATACTTCAAACATCATCGGAGGCTTTGAACTATGATTGGTCCCTTAGTTGGAATTAATTATTTTCTTTATCATAATGTGATTGGTTAATTTTGTCCCAGACCTTTCATTCTATTGGTGTGTTCGATTCATCCCTGTTGGTTTAACTTTACTATTACACCTTAACCTGCGGCGATTTGGATCGCGTGAGGGCTATATCAAAACCAGATTGAATTTTAGCGCTTATTAATATGAAAAATGTTCTGATAGTGCATACGCCCACGACTGTTTGCCACAAAACCTAAATCACGCGGCAGTTCTTACGGTTTTTACCAATCGGAAATAACACGTTCTAGACCATATGGGCCCAGTTGTTCGAAGGCCGATTAACGCTGACCTGCGGTAAAGTTTTAATCTGGGTTCCTTTCTTCCCTTCTTCAAAGGCCTATTTCAGATAATTTCTTCCATTCCTTTTTAGAACATTCAGGCATCAAATTGTAGGCAAAAATAAATATACTGAATTTCTTCTAAAGCTTTCAGATCTGAGGTCAGATTTCACGCTAACCTGGGTTATCTTAACCTGGTTTTGAACAACTTGGCCCGTGACAATGCCGACTTTACTTGATTATTATCACATTTAGACTCATTGTAGCGCTGTGATAAGTCTGCTGCTACTGTTACTGTAGTCCATGTTAGATGAAGTACGTTTCTTTAGTGAAACACCGTTGCTGTTGGCAACGCTAAGAGTAAGGAACAAAACAAATAAACAAACATGGAAGCAAACAGGCAATTCCTACATTATAGAAACTTTCTACTGAAAATGTAAAGATGAATCATGATTGTAAAAGTCTGGAAGATTCCAAATTTAAGATATCGCGAAGTAGGATTTGATTTCTCAATTATATCAATGAAATATGCTATACATCGTGATTCATCGACTGCAAAAGTGCAATTTACAACTCGATATTCTTTAAGGATATATCCTAGTCGCTTTCGTTTTTCAGTAGTCATTGCAAACTCGATTAGTTAAATTTTCATCAAATTGTAAACAATGAATTGTGGGATTATTAAGTTCGCGGACGCTTATGTGTACGCTTTAGTTTGTCTGAAAGGAGACAAAATATACTCCAGGGCTAAAGTTAGTTGTTTAAGTCGATGATAAATAACTTTACTTATCAAATGCAAAGGCAGCTTACCAATAATAGATTGTCTTAAGGTTTCTCCCCAAAAAGGTGTTCAACACGGGTTTGACGAGATGACCTAAGGTAAAGAAATGAAAGACGAAATTACCTCGGTTTATGGTATTTTTCACAATTTCAGCCTTCTGTAAACCAAAACAAGTAAGTTCACGAGCATCTGATGCTGGTAAACATTGTATTCCACGATTGTGACGCAGATTGAGATGCTCAAGCTCCCAAAATCTTTTTTAATTGATGCCAGAAATTCCCACAAAAAGGTTGTCTTTAACACTAAAACAAGTTATGCGTGAGTTGAAAACATCTTACGAGTTAAGACACAAGTGAAATAGATTACTCCAGTACGAGAAATATGCTCACCGTCACAAACAGTAGTGTACTACGACAGGCAACTTCGCAAGCAGTTACTTATAATTGCTATGTGCTGCGTCCGTGACATTACTTGGAGAGCTCGTGTGGGAACACTTTATCATATTACGCACGAATATAATTCCCCACGCGTACAGAATATTCGTAATTTATGCGGGTCACACTTTCCAAAAGCTTGAGTTTGGCGTCAAAAATTAGTTTATCGCAATTTAATAACTATTTCACTGAGACTGCAAACACTACGAGCATTGTTCCAAATAAAAATCGACCACCATGTGGCACAGATTAACCGAATTTGAATTAGAATGATGATTTTTATGTTTTTTTCGTCTTTCCCGACTTGAATAATATGTTTACCAAAACTCAGACTGAAAGCATGTCCCATCTTTGAGACACAATTTTTTTTGTAGGAATTCCTAATTGTAGCGATTTGTCCATGCAGCTGCCACTTTAACAACTTGCTGTTATGTTACTGATTTTCATCGTCGAGTCCACCGATTAGATAGCGATACACTTAAGTAGAAGAGTTCTAAATTTGCAGTGTGGGAGTTTTAAAATCAGTTCTAATTAACAATTTAACGGTTTACCCAACTCACACTAATATCGTAGAAGGAAAGTCAAGTTAAATGCTAACTTACCAGTCCCATTTGCTTGAGTAGGCTCTCCTTAATCCCGCGGGCGTCCTCTCGAATCTTCTGTAGACACTCTGCGGAATAACTTAATAACGTTGAAATAGCGAGAGCCCAATTCAGATAAGCGAATTATTATACTTGTGGAATTTTTTCGTGGTTGTTTTTCAAACAGCCTACTTCAAAATCGGTAAAACAATTTGGAAATTTTTCTGTCGCCAATTTAAATTTGGTTACGTTGTAACCGTAAATAAAATTGATTGGTATTGTGGTTAAAAATTTAGCGTCCGTCCCTCGCCTTTAAACCGTGACCCAAACTCGATAAAAGCAGTTTCACGTAATGATTGAGATAGCTTTAATTTAATCTTATGCTATTCTATCTTCATCATTTTGTTGATTATAAAATCAATGGAAAAGTCTTAAATCATTTCTTAACGCAATGAAAGAGAAAATTAAAATCTACATCTGATACACAACCCACAACCGCAATGTTTTGGCAAACTCCACAGGGGTTTCTGGTGTTTATTGCCAGGGAAAATGAGAAAACTAATTTTCCATACCGATGTGCATTTATTAACGTAGCTTCTGTTTACATCAACCCAATTATGAACGCATACGTCTCGAGTTGGAGATTTTCGTGATTTTCCAAGACGTAATACGGATTTTTCATTTCAGTGAGCTTTTAAACCATTTTCATTGGTACAAAGATATTAAGAGAGAATTTGCTCGTTATTTTTCAACTTAATCTCACTGTTATGACTTCCCTTACTAATAACAATGACTTACTGAACAGATGTCCCAATCGTGCAGCGAAGTACTTGCGCGCAGCACACTGAATGTTTCTTAAGGGATCCCACGCATTACTGGTTGCACAAAACTAAATAGACTTCCTTCTTTTTGACGCAAATTATCTGTGTATGTTGAAGCACCTTTGCGTTTTCTTACTGGTGCGTTACTCACTGAATCCTTATATTTTAAACGAGGGATTACCATGGCCTTAGTGGACGTTTTTACCTCTCTCGATATTCAGCCGGCTGTCTCCCCAGCTTCTTTCCTTTTAAGCTTAGCTTTGTCCCATTCCTCCAAAGCAACCCACTCTTCCCCGCTCTCCGCCTTTCTTTGTTTGGCCGCCCCCGCTTTGTTTCCTTGCACAGGCTTTTTCTGGGCTTTCATTCGTTTTTCAGTAAGTTTTCTTTTTGATTCCCTCAAAAGACACGAAAATCTTTTCGTGGCTAAACTTAGTTATTTCACGGATGTGGATAAATTTCTCCGACATCTCCGAATGTGTTGTCGTTGATTTTTTATTTTTTCATGTTTTTTTTTAATCAATCAAATTTTCTATGGCTTAAGGCAGCCATTTTCACGGACGAAAAATTTCTCCCATTTCTCAAATGCAACTCTTTTTTTTTCGTTCCCGTGTCGTGTTTAGCCGCCTCCGCCTTTTTTTTTTTAACTGTTCTGGGATTTTTCTA